ATTAAAGAAGATTTTTCTTGAATTATCACTAATAATCACTCGAGTTTAGAATATATTAAAGATAATAAAATTAACTCGATTGCGACTTTTGATTTCCAGGATCTTTTCAATAGCATTCCCCTTTTTAAACTAAAAGATGTCTTTTTGAATTATTATGATTTTAAAAATATCCTTAATTGCGATTTTCATTGTATTTTTAATAACTACCTTAACAATGGAAAAGAATATTTTTTCAAATTGATGGAATACCACAAGGATCTAATCTTTCATATCTCTTAGCTAATTTATTTTTGCACTATTATGAAGAAAAAAATCATGCATTTATTATTAAATATGTTTTTAGATTTATTGGTGATTTAATTATCTTTAATTTTCAAGGCTATACAATTTTATTAAATAATATTTACCGCAAAGAGTTAATCTTGCTTTGCAATCATGATGATAACATTAATTGAAATTTTTTAGGTTTGGGTATTATAAAAGAAGAAAATATCTGCTTTGTTGATTTAAACGATAAAAGAAATGATTTTAATGTAAATAAACTAATTACTTAGAATTTTAATGTTTCTAAAATATCTATTTAAATACCATGCTTAATCAAATGAATAGAATTAAAAAAACATAAAGTAATATTTTTTTCTCCCAAAAAAATAGACAAACTCATCAAAAACTTGAAGAAAAAAAAACAATTGATACCCAACTAAATTGATAAAATTCTATGTGAAATCATTGAGTTAATTGTATGTTATTATAAATAAGTTAATTAAAAACTTCTTGGTTAATTTATATAATTTTTACCACGCGTAAATCTATTTTGGGCAAATCCGTGGCTAAAAATATGTGCCAAACTGCAATTCATGCTTCTTTCTCTCTTCTTTACTTCTTAAATAAATGTTATTTTTCTAAAATCATTAAAATTGTATAATTAAATGTCAACCTATTAATTATTAACTTATCCAGAATAATATCAACTCGTGCACATCCATTTTCGAGCCAATCCTTGGTAACTTACAAATCAAACTCGCTTATATATATATATATATATAAAATATTTCAAGAAGGGGCGCCGATAGGGCAGATTGCCATAGGCGCCATTTTCTCTAGATACGCCTCTGATGACATCCCCGACAAAGAGAATTGGGTTCTATTCCCATAATGTTTAGGTGTCTCCTGAGGATACAGTGACCAGTAAGAAGACCTATGATCTTCCTTATACTGTTTCTATTAAGCTTTAAGAGCTCCTTTTGACGTACACTAGGACAGTCTCGATTCAGCTCCTTAGCTTGTCTCTGACCGTCAGCAGCGCGCCACTGCTCATGGGCGATTTTGCCGTAGAGCTTGTTACTTGCGATTCTGGAATCGCTCCAGTGATTTCCAGTGTTTTTTCTTTCATCGGGGGTCCAATTACTGTAATTATTTTTTATCCTTGCTGTTCTAAACCATTCAAACAAAACTACATTGATGTCTCTAAAATTTTCTTCCCACGTGCATTTTACGTCTCCGGATTTAAAAATTTCCCCTTCTTTTTTTAACAGTTTCCTCTTCATTCAGAATTTTAATTATTTGTGTTTTGCCACAGTTGAATATCTCTGTTACTTTTTGTCCTGAATTCCCTTTTTCATGTAAAATTATCTTCTCTATCTTTTGTCAAGCCTAAAATAAACTTCTTTTCTTTTTTTTTTACATTTTACAGCAATAAATTTTAGCTATTAAATGAATTAGTAACACTTCAAAACAATTTCTTCAAAAGAACAAAATCATGTTCTACACACTCAAATGACTGAAAACTCTCATTCTTCTCCTTTTCAATATTTTCTGTACAAAAGCAACCAATTTGGCTTTAAAACCATGTTCACAAGCGAGACCTTCAACAGCAAGGCTGGCTAGCTGTAGTGTGCCAAGTTCAAACCTTACTTTTTTTTAACTTTGCCATTGAAAAAGAAACACAGTAGACCTTCTGGAGTAGCTAGAATTCAGTTTACACCTTGTTTCCTCCCAAGTGTAATACGGAAAAATTTTTGTTTCTGATATGGAAGAGCCTAGAGCATGAAAAGAGTCTTTTTGTGAAAGTGGGAGGTAGGGAAAAATATGGTTATTGAGGGAGAGGTTTTTTGTGCCAATATGAATTACCGATAAATTGATATCTGTTCTGCATCAGTAAGTGTCCTCCAGAAGAGCTGCCCAGAAATATTTATTAATATATAAAGGTATTTCAATTTTTTTATTTATTATTTATTTTTCCCATTTTTTCTTTGGTCCTTTTCGTGTTTAAAGGGAAGGTTCGTCTGGTCGCTGGAAGGTGTTTTGGCAGTCTTACCCGAAGGTATTCTTCAACACACTGTCTTTATAAAACGATTTGTGCCTCCTAAAAATGGTTATAAATAGAGGAAGTCACTATGCAGAAATGGTGTTTCCCTGAGGTTTCACTGTATTTTTGAAATTTATTTTATTGTAGTTAAATAGCATTTTGTTGATGCACACATGTTTACTTGCAACACCTCTCATTAGGGTTTAGAGGCCCTTAAAATGCAATGTAAGCATATTTTTGGCACTTTTAGATCCCTCCTTCCACTTAGACAGCAGAAATAAGCAAATCACAAAACCTCCATGTTTGTTTGCCGTTTTATATATAAATGATCTTTAAAAAATTTATTTTTAATATTTTTTGCCCATCTTAACTATTTCGCTCCAAATGAATATAAAATGACCAGAGAATAAAAAAAACATCTCTAATTATAAATATAGTTATTACAAAGTTATATTTATAATTTGTGTAGTTTTTTTTTTTTTTTTTTTGTAAGAAAAAATATTAATCTTTTAACTTTCTTACAATCGTATACAATAATGTCTTGCAAAGAAAGAGTTGAAAAATTTCAGACTATATTTTTTTGTTTTTCATATATAATATTCTTAAAAATTTGTAAGCCTAGTTTTAAAGCTGTTTTAATATTTCAAATTATCTAGATAATTTGGGATAATGTGTGCAACATTCCACATGTCGTGCAACAAGCGGATGTTATTATATTCAACAATGTTTTTGAATGTTTCATGTCAAAAACTGATCAAGAAGAAACTTGGAAATGGCTACGAAAAACTGTCACCAAATCTGGCACTATGTTAGTTTCATCTCCAAGTATAGAAGAAACACTAAGTTCTCTACAGGTAATATTGTATTGAAAAGCTTATTTGAATAGAAACAAAAATTATTTTAAAATATCAAGAAATTTTTATTTCAAAATAACTATTATTTTTCTTCCTTTTTTTGCAGACAATTTTCGTAAAAACTCTATATGGGTTTAAAATTCTCGTTAGTAAAAACCTAATTTCTTCGTTTCTGTGCAATTTAACTTACCAACGGTGCAAAGAAATCTTTTTTTAGTTTTTGCACTCAAGAAAATATTTATTCAAATACAAAAATAATCGTGTATGTTGCTCTTTTTTTCTTCATTTTTTTGTATTTTGTGAATATAACTTAGCATGTACGCATCAGAAATATTCTCGAAGAAACTCTTCGATTTAACTTTTTGAAACCACTCATTTTGGACGAAAATATTTTCATACACATTTGTAAATTTTAAATGTAAATATCTATTCTCTGGTGGTTGCAGCAGACAAACCTCAATATTCTTATTGAATATTTTGTGAGCTACTATGTAAGTTTTAATACCTTAACGTTTAGATATCTGTTGCACATTAATTGTTTAATACATAGGTGCACATTAAGTTATTGTAGCCCGAATTTTTTTTATTTATTTAATATTTTTAAAAATATTATTAATAACAATTAAATATTTTTAAAAAATCTACTTCCTATTTTAATTTGCAATTCAATACTTTTGTTTTGTACAACTTGGTAAAACTCTGACAGTAATATTTAATGTTCCTTCAAACATAAAAGCGCCCTACAAAAAATTTTGTTAAAGTTGCGGCCCGCCATTTGATTTGTGTTTTCAATTGTGGCCCCCGGCCCCATGCAAGTTGGAAACCCCTGAGCTAGACGATATGTCTGAACATTATATTTCTCTTTGTCTCCTTGTATATAAGAGTTGGAAAAGAGGAGATACGAGAGTTGTATCTCCTTCCAACAAATGCTCTTTCTCATTGAGGAACAGGTTCTAGTCACTGAGTGTCTACTTCAGACTATAGAGTATGATTGTCTATCATGATGTTTCATTGAAACTGTTGCAGAAGAACAATGATTTGATGTGTATAAAGAGGAGAATGCTTAAGCCTTTGTACAACATTCCTTTTATCCTGTTTTGAAATTGTTATCTTTTTTTTATCCTTACTGTTTTAACTTTATCTGCCAGCTTCAGTTGCGGTTACAACTGGCATTTAAGTGTATCCTATTACAATGTGGAAAGCTAGGTTCAATGCATTGTGATTCATTAATGTTTTCTCGGGTACATTGTGAAGAGCTCGTAGGACACTGGTGAAAAAACTGCCACATGTACTAAAATGGATAAACCAATTTGGTGATTGTGTCGGAAAAAAATATGAAAATGTTTAAACTTAAAAATTATGTATCCATATTATGTATAATTTTATATTATATTATATTTTATATTAGAACATATTTTATATTATAGAAAATTAATATTATTTGTGTTTCAATAAAAATTGGATACTTTAGGAATTACCTTTACAAATTTAATAATTTTAAAGTTTTTAATATTAACTAAGATATTTTTATTTGGTTTATCAAATGATATCTTCACTTACATGATATCAGAAAAATCTAAAAGTATAGTAATTGCTATTGTAAGCAGATTAATGTTTGCCTCTTGAAGTGTATTTCTTTTCCATATTTCAAGGGTAGTCTGAAATATAAGGGTTGCTCAAATGAAAAGTAGACTTGCTTAACATCACCAGAAATACAGTAGCAAGGCACTGAAAACATGTTTAGTCGAAATATTTTTACCAGAAAAACGTGAAGTAGTAGGATCTTTAGTGGCAGATGATGAACGTATCGTTCATTCCTTACTCATGTCAGACAAAATTCTGCAAATGTGTCTTACGTTTTAACTCTAGTCATTGTATCTTACTCAAATGTGTCTTACATTTTATTTCTATTCATTTTATCACTAACGACAAATAATTCATGGGAAATGGTGGCATTTGCTTGCTCTATTTCTTACAAAGTCAAATATTGCTGTGTGTCTTTAGGAGAAGTTTTATACTGTTTGTTCGTAAACAGCAAACATTTGACAATGTCTGCTACAAAAAATCAAACTACTACACACTGCTCTGATTTCTCAGTGCATCCATCTTATCATAAATTTACGTTCTTTTTAAATGCAAACTTTTTAATTAGTTGAATGCATTCTCTGAAACACTAACCTTATTTCAATTTACAACTTAGGTAGGTGGCATTAATATCACTGCTGTTTTTCTTATGCTAATAAGCAGGTGCGTTTCTCATTTGGGCTACCCTTATAAAACTGCATCTACACACTTTTTAGAAACTATAAATTTGGATGATAGCAAAGAAAGATTTAGAATGAAAAATATGTCAGAAGAGACAAAATAAAACCACATAATAAGAATTTGATGGGAGAATTGATTATTATTTAATTTTTTAGACTGGCATAGATATTTCATCATGGTTGAAAAGAATTCCCATCACAGATCCTGAAGCTGTTTTGAAAATGGATGATCAAGATTTGCTCTCAGAAATAACCTCATATGTAGTTATTTAAAATCTGAGCTTTTATTCTTTGTAAATATTGTGATGCTGAAGTCTGATTGTGGAGCTTATTTGAAAGAAATGTCAAGTGAGATTTGAATTATATGTTATAACAATAATTTTAAAGACAAAATTAGATCAGCATTGCATGTGAATTGGAAATTTATCATGTGAAAATAAAAATTAATATAAATTTTATATGTGTATTTTTTTATTGGAATTCCACTGTTTCAAAAATTATTTCAAATGATGAAAAAGAAATACATTTAAAAAAAAATTTAAAGCAATTATTTAATGTTTATTTATTTATTTTTAATATTTTTAAACTACATTCAAAAGCATTGTGTTTGTAATTTTTATATAGTGTCAATATATTATATCGTGTCAACATTCTTGACTAACAAGTTAGAAACTCGTCATAATTTTTACTTCTACTAAATACGGCAAAATCTCTTGAGTTGGTTCCAAAGAGTTAATAATTATATATTTTTAACACTAATACCTAATTTTTTTTCTTCTGAATTTCAATAAAATGAGGTCACACTTCAGTTACATCAACACACATACATTTTATAGCGTAACTACATAGAATTAATCAATTTATGCATAACAAACTTTTGTTAATTGGTTGCTTTGCTTTTTTTGCAGAAATCTAAAAATTTTAATATTTATTATTAAAAGTATAGTTTTCTTAGACCATCGTTTTTTCCATTTCTGCAAAATTGTTGCTTGCCATGTTCTGTGCAAAATAAATAAAATACATAACTTAAGTACACAAATTAAAAGCCTCTACAAAAGTATAAATCAATAAAATTAACTTCAAAAATCAATGCAAGTGAATTTTAATAAAATTTAAATACTATATAGTACTATTATAAAAAAAAATTTACAAAACTGGATTTTTAGAGTTTATTGATAAAAACAGCATATTGATTGCTTCTATAATCTGAATTTTTCTATTATAAGAAGTTGGTTCATTCCAAATTACTTGAGATGATTGAAGTCCTATTACAATAATTAATCATTATTTGAATAACAAAATTTAATGTAGTATATAATTAAATTTAGCTCTTAAAAAATTTACAATTAAGGAAAAACACCATTTTGATTTTCCAAAAAGACTTGTTCTAAGTGAATTAATTAATTGCATGATTAGAAATATTAGTAGTGTCTTAATAAACCTCAAAGGTACTTATTCATATTAAGCAGATATCTATATTATAAATATATGTTCCTTGCTATCATGCATTAAGCATACTGAGATACTGAAAAAAGTATGATTATTTTTACAATTATTCATCTTCTAAATATCACAATATCACTCGTTTAATGATTGACATATGTTGCTTTTACTGAACAATTTCGTATTCTTTATGAAATAGTGCAATTCATAAGCACTTTGTTTATAAGTAAGAATCGAGTAATCAATTGTAGCTGATTTAGTAAAAATTCAGCTTTTTATTCTAATGTCTGCATGAATCTATGCTTCAAATTAAGTGGACATGTTACTTGTGAAATCAATTTTTATGATTTCTTTAAAAATTTAGGAATTTGAATCATTAATATAGCTTTGATTTCACATAGATTTTTAACGAAATAGTAGTGTATTTAACGAAAGTGGCCTGCAAATTAAGTACTACTGTTTAATTGTAAAAAATAAAAAGATCCTAGGTATTATAGAAATTGTAGTAGTTTATACATGCTGTGAAATATTTCAATAAATAAAAAAAAATTTGAAAAAGCTATCAAATCTGCAAATTAAAAGTTTTTTTTTAAATTTTACTTAAAGTTAGTGCAAATTTTTTCCATCTATCTACATCATGTGTAGACTGGTAATTGGACCACAGTTATACTATTTGTTGATTTCCCAAAAACAATAGAAAAATTCTAATTGTAAAGCAGCAGAATTAAACTGTTCCCTATAGTTATCACCTATTTGCTGCTATTTTCTCTGAATTGTCATTCTGCCAATTCCAGTTCTAGCTTCTTTTTTTTGTTTTTGTTTAAAGACAAAGTATTGAATTATCTTTGACAAAATCTGCATAAGTAAATGATAGGTCAGGTTTGCATTCAACTGGGATATTTAAGGTTAGTTTTCCCCCATAAATCCAATTAAAATTATTTTTTTTCTAAAAATAGCTTGCTTGATTCGTAAAAGTTGTTTAATTTAATCGACACTTATAGCCTTTAATTATTGAATAAGATTTGTGTTTATTTTTATAATGATGGCACAAGTTATAGTCTTCTGCTATTTTGATTACGCTAGTGCACAGTAAGCAAGTTATTAAAAACAATAACTAAGAAAAACAAAGCAAAAACTTTGAATGAGTGATATTTCACTTTCATTATTAACTTTATTTCTTGTCTCGCATCTCTACTGTTTTCCTACATACTTTAACAGTTTCTCTCTTCAACCAGTTTCTTCCAGCTCCTTGAATTTTTTTTAGGTTTGTAGAAATAAAATTAATGATCATACCCCACCTGTTTTTATCCTCTATTCTTAGGTTATGCATCCCTGTTTTAACTTGAATCTTGAGCCATGGGTTATGCATCTCTTTTCTAATCGTTTCTTTATTCTGTTAAGTATCATATGTTTGAAATTATACGAAATTGAAACTACTGAAGTTTTGGCATTGATTTTAATCTCAATCCATAATAAATTATTTATTATTGAAAATTAGCTGTTTTCTTTACAATATATTGAAAAATAAAAGAAAATTTTTATTATAATACATTCTAAAAGAAAGAAATTGTTCATACATTTTGCTTTTAAGTATAACTTGTAAATAAAATCAATCGTAAACAAAAACAAAAACAAAATATTTATTTTACACTTGTGTTGAACTATCCGAAGAAAAGTCTGAAAGTAATTGATATTTACTTTAATCAATTTTCTCTTTAATCCTCTAAGCATTAACCCTTTAACAGCCAATCCCTAACTCAGTTCAAGATACAATCTGCTTGCTTTTTCTGCAAAAAAAGGTTTTTTCTACGTGTTATTCAACAGAAATTCTGTGCTTTGCAGGAAATTTTTTGTCCAAGTAGCAAATAGTAAAAAGGTTAAACATATAAACATGCCTGTATGGAATTTTCTTTCCTACGCATAAAAAATCACTTTCTCATTCTGAGGACCATTCATATGTATAGAAATTAGCTAATAATAGGAAGGAGAAAAAAAACAGTCATGTTAAATGGTGAAAATTTCAAAATCAGTCACTTAGAGGATTAAATGTTACATTCATGGTTATTAAACATTTTATGAACATTCAAACAGAGAAAAGTTATACATTTTAGATAATTTTGTTCCATACACTTATCTCGTAATTTTTGCATAAATTTCTATACTTAAGAAATTTATTAATATAATTTACAAATACGAGCCAGAGACTATGAAGAATATTCTATAACATTTATAGTTTATGAATTTATATGCACTTTAACCTCAATTATCTAATGCAGCATTCTCAACCCTGTGGGCTGCAGCCCAGAGATTACCGGTACATCTATATATATTCACACAATATATTTGTCATACCTACATAGTAAGTTACACATGTAGGTACTTGGTTATTAAATATTTTACTTGTATATTAAGTAGTTTAAAAGCCTTAATTTTTTTTATGAAATTTTTTTTAAAAATTAAAAATTATGGCTTGCACATTTAAAAATGTCAGAATTGCTAGTTTAAAGTAGTTAAGTTAAATAGATAAAAATTTAGTTTATTTTAAAATTATAATGACCTTCTGATAAATTTCCCAGTGGAATCCATATTGAAGACATTTATTTCAAAACTAACAGTACTTTACTTATAAAAATGTTTAAATAGAAGTTCACTGACTTATAAAAGGTTGATTTGTTGCTCGCAAAAAAAGTAATAAACTTTTTGTAGACTTAACAAAACAGTGTTTATTTCGATCTTTAGATCAAAGCCAATGACTGGTATGCATCTCTAAATACAAGGGTGGCAATGAATTTTCTTTCTGTGAAAAAAAGGTTTTGAGATTTTATACTTTTATTATTATTATTAATAATAATAATAAAAGTTTCTATACTTGTATTATTATATATTATTTGGAGTCTCATACTTTTAAAACTTATTATAATACTCAACTAATGTGGTAAAAATATCAACATTTTGTGCCCAAGAATCATACAATTATTTTAGGAAGGTGTTGAGAATTCACAGCAATTTAAGGTCTTTGGATAATATAAAAATACACTCATATGCAAAATCTTTTATAAGTGTAATGTTCAATTGTGTAAAGTAATTGCTTAAAATGCTCCAGATGTCTATAAAACTAAGTAATACGCAAAAGTTATGCATTCTAAACTCTGTTTTTAGCTAGTTTCAAAAGAGCCTGTTTTCATTTTTTAAGTTTATAGATAGGATCTAGTTGAACAGACGAAGATTAGGAATCTTCTTCATTAAAATGGATTTTTAAACACAAAATTTCTTAATCATCACCTTTTATCTTCTATATTGTCTAAAGCTATTAAATTTAAATAAATTTATTTCAGAACTAATATTTTTTGTGATTTTTATTAATTGCCAATGTATATTTTTTACAATTATTGTTATTAGTGTACACGTGTTTTTTAAAATCAACATTTTTTTAAGTAATAATCTACAATTAATATTCAGTAAATTTTAGTTTAAATATAGGAAGACAACAATTGAGGAAATTTTATTAAACCTTATTTGTAAACACATTCTTTCATCATAAGACTTTGCTCTATAATAGAAAAGAAAAAACAATTAAATCAAAAACAGTAAAAAAATTAAACTATCTATTATTTCTTTTTGGTTGTTGTTTTTTCATCTATTGCATGATACATCCTAGTTAAATGTAAAAGTTCAGCACTTTGTTTTTCAACTACAAACCTTAATTCCTCAACATCATTTTCTAGAGTTTTAAATCTTTGCTCTGTAGCAGCTAATTTGGCTTTCTCATTTCGAGAACTCCTAATATACTCTGCTGTAATTGTAAAAACGGCAATCATAAATATTGTGGCTTCACCGAGTAAATCAGCACCTAGCTCTATGGCCATAGCTTCATTCAATTTTGGAACTTCACTCGGCTTTCCCAGGTTTAGCAATCTCATCTTGACATTAACTTCAACCCAATGGTACACTGAAAAAACAAAGCAGATTTCAAAATTAGTTCATTTTAATAAATACATACAAAACTGAAAGAAATTACTTATTGAACTCAAGTTTTTCAAATATTTTCCAAATGTAAAATCATTAAGTATAAAAAATGAATTCAAAACTATTTATGTGTGGTAAAAACTGTTGACAACTTTATTATTTTTTATTTATGAACTGAAACTCAGTGCAAAAAAATTTTACAATGGTGTAGCTCATCTCCCTACAGCAAATTTTATTACTATCCACAAAATTTACGAATTTTTGTGGGTGTAATGTGCATCTTTAGTTTCTAACTCTGGATGGGGGAGGGGGCTTATTCAGTTGTTATTGCTGAATAATATTGTAGTATGAAACTATAGGTGGGGGGCTTAATTGAATCTGCGGAATTTTACAGTATAATATTTATGCAGATTTTTTAGTTTCAGATTTCACTAAGAAATTTTTTATTATAAAGAGGGAACATTAAAAGTCAAGTAGTGTTGTCATGCTTTTGTGAGAAGTTTTCTATCTCAAATAAAAAAAAAGAGATATAATTTGAAATAAAATAAATATATCAGCTAGACACAAATTATCTTTATTTGTAGAATCATTCAGGAATTAAAGGCCAAATTAAATTTTTTTTTTTTACTTTAAGTCTGAAATATTTAAGACAAAAAATTTTTAATAGAGACAAAAAATTTTTTAAAAATGACTACTAAAAAAAACTAAAGAGCACTAAAGCATTTAAAAATTTAGAACTCCAGCTCCAAGGAAAACACAGCTATGGAGTGCTTCAGGTCAGGGCTTTTGCAGTAAAGGAAAGAAGCTGTGTTATTTGTTTATTATGTGACATTCTTAGCACAAAAAGTTTAAAAACATGCTACATTCAACTTCATAAACAAAATATATTTTTTCTAAGAGTTTATTAAAAAGGATGGCTTTTAATAGGAAAATGTATTTAATATCTTGCTGCTATTGCTATTTTTTAAAAGCTGATGAACTAAAATTCTTTAAAATTTTCTTAGAACCTTCTTTCACTAAGCTCTCTATGTTTGACAAAAATTACACCTAAGTTAAGAGCAAAGAAATAAGAAGAGGTAAGTATTTTGTACCAAATCCAAATTTTTTATGTTTAAAATGAAGTTATTAATTATCAGTTACAAATTGAAAAGAATATTAGCAGATTATGTTAGGACTAAACAATATATATTTAATTTTATAACTGTCATTAACAGCCGACCCAAATTTGGGTTTACGGCTACTTATGTTCAATGTAGCCAGGTAATTTTGAACCCGATCCAAGAAGTCCTGAATCAAGTATTGGGAGAAATTTGCCTTCGTGGAGGAATTATGGATCTAACCTGTATTTGCGTTGCATGGAGAGGAAGACCACGAGAACATCCCACAGTTAGTCTGACGGCAAGGGAACTGTGACCCATGTTCCATCTACCACTGAGGATATTTCACAACAGCACTATGGCCGGTGCAAGCCAGATGCGGAATTCATGTCGACCAGCCATCGCTGGGATTCAAACCAGGTTCATCCCATTGGAAGGCGAACGCTCTATCCCCTGAGCCATCGCGGCCCATAGACGATATATATTGAAATATCAATTTAACGCATATTTCTTCACCAGACTTGCATTTCTCACAATGCATTGTAACTCTCACTTAACCTGCCAATATAAGAAAACACTCGCAATATAATGATTCATTCTCCAAGGATTCTTGCCTAAGCTAACACTGTTAACGTGCATAAGGAAGATGATTTCATCTACCCACCAAGACAATGTCCATTTCATGATCAGGGGTCTGTCTAGGTTTTTCTGAGAGGTGCCTATTTTGTGAACATTTAGACATAATTTATGAAAATTATATTAAAAAATCAACACGAAAATATGGACATAATTTGAGAAAATTATATTAAAAAATCAACACGAAAATATGGATTTATCATTTCTTATGGGATACAAAAATAAAATTTTAGGAAGAAGTAATATGTAAAACTATCATTTTTCCTTAAGTTGAATTTGTGAAGGTACCGCTAAACGGTAGTAAATTTGGCCTGGACAGACCTCTGATGATGTTAAATGGCTAGATGAGAATTGAATCAGAAGTCACGATTTTGTGAGTGGATCAATGTTGGAATCTAGAACATGATGCATTGCTTCTTTCTGCAGGATTTCAGATTTCTTGAAGATTACCTTTAATATGATATCTATTACTTTGTGAGTCCTACGTATCTTTTTACCGGGATTTAATGTATTTTGTAAATTATTTTTTGTGGGACTTCTACAGTTTTGCGATCGCTGTGCATTATTTTGTTACATTTTTTTTTTTCAAGATTTAACGGCAATACTTGTAAATTATTTTTAGTAAGTCTTCTATTACTTTGCGATCATTGTGCATTATTTCATAGCATAATACATCAAATCATAATACATTGTTAAATCACAATACATTGCTAAATTGCATGTCTAACAGACAATATAAAATTTCTTACATTGTCCATGGTCAACAAATAAAAAATAATAAGGAAAGACTAATACATTCTAAATTTGTAAGAGAACTTTCGTTTAAACTTAATTCTATAAACTGATTATTAATAAATAATAAAAAAAAACAAAGATAAAGAGATGAGGAGAAAGGTAAATAAACACATTCTAAGCTCTCTTGTCAATAACTGGAGTGGTACAAAAAAAAATGTTTGTTTGCCAATATAATATGTAATTCCATCTTCAGATGGGATTCATTTAGTGTTACCCATCTAAGATTAAGTATTATACTCAGTTTTAACAAGCTTTATAAAATCTTCATTACACATTTTGCAATTCTGTGCCTTAATGTTAGCAGTTTATTGAATTTGAGATACTATCAATTTTCCTAGAGCCAATACAACACTGTAGATGAAGAGTACAAAAACAGCACTAAAAAATGATTACCCGTTCGTCGCAACAAATTTGTAGTACTGGCTTTAGAATGCATCAAGCTTTAATAAGAACAGTGGTTTCATAAGAAGCTAATCAGTGCACATTTGCATTTGTCTAATGTATAACTACATAAATATTAGATTACAGTAAAAAATATGCGAAGTAGAATTTGATGATTTTTTTCATAGATATAAATGAAGTTGATTTGACTTTCTAGAGGCAGAAAGAAGAAATGATTGATTTTATAATTGCTTTTTACATTATTGAATACCTGCTTACTAAATAGAATAATAATTCCCTCAAAAGTTTGACAAGTTAGTGCTTGCTTAGAGAAATTGGTCTAAAAAAAAAAACTCATGAACTTTGTTGGAACATGAAAGTTTCTGACGATTTATTCATAATTAATAAGGCAAACATGATTTTATACTAGAATGATGAATCAAAAAATTTATTGAAACTGATAATTTATTGCAACTTACATTGGGCAGGAGGCATACATATGTAAGTTCTAAAAAACAAACTACTCTTCGCTTTAGTTTTTAACCTATTAGCTAGCGGTTTACTGACTTGGCGAATCGCTAGAGCAGCTAATTTTGCTAAAGGAAAAGCTACCATGTTGATCAAAGATTCATATCAACTCTATTTTGATATAATATATATTATTGGCACTAATTTTTCAATTATACATGATATATTGTATAAAAATTTCGATATCAATCATTATTTTCCTAAAGCATTTCCTATGTATGACCTTTCTAAGCAACTTTGTTTTGATCCAATGTTTACATTACGTCTGCTCAACTTTTTACTACTACAACTTCCATTTTTTATTTAAAACATTGCCAGAGAGTAAAAGCGTTTTATTAAGAAAAAAATATGGCTTAACTTACAGCACTTTATTTACCAAAATAAATATATTTTTTCAATGGCATCTAAACAAAAACTTTTTGGTTTCAATTTTAAAATTTAAATTTCCGTAATCAAAATGGAATTGTTTAGTCAAATAATGCCCCTAAATTCAAGTTTAAATGAATATGCTGGCTTCCTTACTGTTATGGTGTTTATATTTTAACATATCTTTAAGTTTCAATTTCATTTATTCTATGCAATGAGTCAATATTAAAAATCAACATACTTTCTTTATTTTTTCTCTTCTTCTATTCTTGTTAGCTATTTTAAAGATGTGATTTAAAATCTTCTTGCACAATATTATTAAAGAGATTTAGATCTTAGTGAGAAACATATAAAAATAAATATTTTTATTTTGTTTAAGTTAGAATAATTATTATCTATTACTGAACTACATTTATCGATCATATTATCTTTGGATTATCCTTTTATTGCAATGACTTTTTAAGGTGTAGAATCGGGGACCACTTGGTTTTTTTTTTTTTTATAACCGGCGTTAAAAAAAACGATCATATTTTGAGAGACGATAATTTTGTTCAGGTTTGCTACAAATTACTATTGAATATTTCCGTTTTTGTGATGTTTTTTAGTTTCTTTCATGCTACTACCTGTTTCTTGCCAAACATTAGTTATTTTTCGACGTAAGTACATATATGGAAATCTCCCATTAGAGAAGCCCATTAGTTTTTCTGTAACATCATTATAGACCTTACATGTATTCTAAAAATTAAAATTTGAAGTAATGTTAAATTTTGTAATTTAATTAAATGTGGAAGTCATAATTTAATATATAATATTATATTTCTTACTTTAGAATGAAGAGTTTTACATCCACTTACTTATTCAAAATGGAAAGGCTTCAAAGAAAGTTACGTTAAGAGGGTGCAAAAAGCTATTTAATGTTCTTGAACCAGAAATAAAAACATTAGAAAAGGTATGAATTTACTTTCTTCCTCCATGAAATGTTTGTCTCAGCTGATTTTAATCATTGCTAAATGTTTCACTATTTTTATTTTATTTTAATATCTCTTTAATTTTGTACCCTATTTTCTTTTCTTCAAAATATATCAAGTTTCAGAAAAAGTTAGTTTTATTTTGATAAATCTTAAGATCTTAGTTTTCATATTATCTTCGCAGGACAAGTAAATTCTAAAAAATAGTTTTGAAATTGGAGCTTATATGTAAAAAACTTGATGAAACAGAAAAAGTTTACTTTGAAATGGCCGGTTTGTATATCCCATTTTTCAACATTGAAATGTTGATCCATGAGGCAGTTTTTGTGGTTAAAAAAAAAAAAAAAAAAAAAAAAAAAAAAATGATAGATGACATAGAATATCTCATTTAAGTATTTTTTAGTCGGGAATTTTTTCTATTGCACAGCTAAATCTTTTTAAGATGAAAACACTTTACACGAATTATCACTTAGATGAAGAGAAACAGTTTTTCCACATTATCTAGAAAACATTAATGATTACATTCTTTAATATAAGCAAACTTTTGCCATTTAAGACAAAATTAATTATTGGACTTTTATGAAAACTTATTCCCAATTCTGATCCTTCTTTGTTTATATGCTAGCTTATTGCCTTTCCTAAACTAGATAGGTAGGGATAGTAAATTTGTTTTTGAAACTGAAAGGAAATCGCTATTTTCAACCAGCGATTGGTGATGTTACTAATTGAAGACATGAGGGCATGGTGAATCTATAAAGAGAGAAAAAAGTTGCTGCATTTTTGCTGATTAAAGAATTCTTTTGTGATCAACATTCTTTTATATGTCTTTTATTTAGTTGCTAGTGATTTGTTGATTCCAATTTTTTGTTGTTGTAATTTGTTTTATTGGAGTTCTTGTTGTGAAAATAAGTGGGAAGAAAGAACTTTTCGGTTTAGAAAAAAAAGCAGAAGATTTCATGTGATGTTAGTATTGTGATTTTTAAAAAAGGGCAATTGCAGAAAAGTACAGAATTCCTGTTAGTACTCATTTGGCTGCTACTAGGAATCTGAAACAAATTGAAACGTCTAGTGCAATCTAGCAGTTAGAGTTTGATTTTTAAAATAATTCTGAATGCCTTTTTCTGTTTTATTAGTTAATACAAAAAGATTTTTGCTGCCCTTCAACTTCATCTTAACGAGGTTTGACTTCATATGTATTACTGTATATCTATTATGTATATTTCTACGATATCTATTTTGCAAAACAAAATTTTTTTTCTAGCATTTAAATCAGTGTAGTACTGCTGTTGATATGTTGCGTGAAATTCATAATCAACTGGTAAGCTTGATTTACATTCTCTTTAAATAATTTAAATTAATTATGTCTTGTTTTAAAAGGAAAGAATTGTATTTATAAATGTGAATATTTTGTACATTTTTAAAAAAAATTTACAATAAAGTATCGATAATTCATGATGGATAACACCTGACCTGCTTCGAATTTATGCAATTTAATAAATAAATAAAAACTCAGAAACGCAATATTTGCCGAAATGAAGCATTTTCTAGGAGTTAGGACCTACTTTTAAGAACCAACAAAATATAGAATAAAAATATAGCAGAATGAAAATATTTCAGCAAAAATTTTAGGTATCTAATAGACGCAGTTGCAGACACGAAAATTTCAAAAGGTACAAAATATTTCATCAAAAAGGTTCCCGTTTGCATCTTTAAATTCATATACACGAGTTTTTCTCATCCATTGTTAATGGTCCCTTTCACTTTTGTGACTGACAAATGTAGATGGAAAATTCCTGATGCCAATGCTGATGCTGGGAAAATAATTTTGGAAAATCATCTATAACAACAGATTATCCTCATTGACGATTTCCATGTTTTTAAACAGATAATCTATGAATTATATGCAAAGAATTATGGTATGTGTATCATATTTAAAATAGAAGTAAATAATTATAAAAATAGTAAGAAAAGTTAATGGAAATTCAAAATAATAAAAATTGTAAATATATTTTTTTTATATACATCAAGTTAATAAAAAATTATAGTATGAAAGTAAAAAATCGTTAAAAATAAAATGGACGAAATATATTATCAACAATGCTGATGCATATTCGGAAAATTTCTTTTGAATATCGTGATGTAAATTTAAAAATCTGTGGTATCTTTATTTAATGAAGGGAGAAAAAAAACTAAATTAATTTCTATGGTTAATTTTTTTTCTATATATGTTATTGCTTTTTATTATTGTTATTTTACTTTTATATGCATTATACAATATGTTAATTGGTTTCAAGTGGCATTTAATGTTTATTCTGTTTGATTAAATTTAATCATTTGTTGAAATGTATATTTAGGAATGTCTGATGAATACTGTGGGATTAAATAAGCAAGGCACTTTGTCCACAGAATACAGTATACTTTTTGAACAGTTGCAAGATTGTGGTTGGGACAAGTAAGAACAGCATTTTAAAATTTAGGAACTACTCTGTTTTGATCTGATACTTACATTGATATTTATTTAATGTTTTGATCTGATACCCGTATTGATATTCATCTAAATATGATAATTAGATATTAATTTGATAATTTACATACTTATATGGGTTTTATGTATTGTCTATTAAATATTTAATTTAACTGAAGGTATTACGAATATTTCTTGATAAAAATGATACACACACAATAATACACACAAATAATCACACAATAATTTTATGTAGTAATTAACTAATTTACGTAATTGATTCAGATTAGCCTACTGATTTATTTTAAGTTTTTATTTTTTATTATGTTATCGATATTTCTGAAGTTTTTTGTTTACTTATATATGTGATACACAAATTATTAAACAGATGAAAAGTCTCTGAATTAATCATATTTATTGTTTTTTTAATAAGAGAAAAATTCAACCATTATTGTTTTAAACTTATCATCTTCACTTAGCATAAAATTTTTACTAAAGTACTTTTTCCGATTTTCAAGAGTAAAATTTAAATTGTTAAAGAATGCTTTTAATATTACATAAATTTGAAGAAAAGTTACTCATTTATTTATTTATTTATTTTGCTATTTAAACTTTAGGGTCCAGTACGTTAGTCCTGATTTCGATGTTATAAATCTAATAACAATTGATGATATGAACCGAGAACATATTCTAAAAGTCTGGATCCCAGAAAAGGTTGTATATTGTTTGATTTTTTTTATTTATTTAGTGGTTTTATTTGGCATATCTTTTTTTAAATTGTCGGTTTTTAGTTTTTGTATGTGGTTAGCGTTGAGCTGTCTTTCATATTTCGCCCTTCAATATTATGTAAACATAATAATTTTAGGTTGGTGATGTGGGAACTAAAAAAGAACTCTGTGTTATGCAGGATACTGCAGTGTTCTATCCTGTATTTTATCTAAATATAAAGTTTCAATTTCAGTATTTTTAAGACTTTCTTGGAATAATTTTTTTCAGTCAAAGAATACTTAAAACAATTGGCAAACCTTATCACTGTTACTTTGCTATTATATCCAAGTGTTACTCAAAAATATAGGCTAACTTTCTAACACTATTTTTTAAAAAAAAGAAAAAACAGTTTTTTAAATGTTGGCAAATAAATGCAAAATTTACTGTATTTAACAACTATAATAAGGTGAAATAGGGAGGCATAACTGAAGCCCTATGTTTTTTTAAGGAGTGAAAAATAGAAAGAAAAAGACTTTACCAGTTGCTTTTCTCCTGTTTCAATTCAATAATGCATAGTCGTTTGAAGGGTATTGGTCATCTTGATGCCACCCTGTATTAAATATGTTTAAATATTTACTAGTATATGTTTTTTGTTTATAATTTATTTGTTTATTTTAAATTATAACTCTATTTTAGTCTTTAGGGTTGTTGTTCTGTAATATCATATTTTCTTAAAGAAATATTTTTAAGCTACTTTTCAAATTATTGCAGCATAATTTATTTCTCAATGTTTTGATATGACTTGTCAGAAAGTATCTTTTAATTTTTTTTTTCTTCCTTATTAATTATCTTTAGTTTCCTAATGAGATTCTGAGATATGAATGTGATATGCCACAGGAATTTACTTATAAATGGTTACCAGTAAGTACAAGTTTTAAATTTTGCATAAAATTTCTTACATTCAGTTAATAAAATAGTATTGCTTCCTAAGTTCCTCTAAATGCTAAAAAAATTACTAAATTAAAAAAAATGCACAGTAAGTTTCACAGTATGCGTAGAGTAACAAGCAAAGTTATTTTGTTTAATTAAAATTGTGTAATAAAGGTAAATTTTTTTATCCTTTTCAGGTTAGCTATCTAAATGAGACTAAAAATACTAAGTTTATTGCTTATTTTAAAATCATTTTAAATATGGATGGTATTTTCCATAACAGTGATAGCAGAGTGAGAGAAGAAAGTAGTTAAAACTAATTAACGGAAACTAATTCATTAATTCACAAAGGTAAAAGAAAGTTTAAAATTTATTAATTCAAAAAAGGGAAAATTCTGTAACAAGGAAATTAAAGTAAAAAATATTCTTGATTTCAGTTATTTTTAGATTATAATAAATCAACCTCATCCTGTATAATTTTATACCAATATTTTTTTTTTTCATTTTTTGTTGTTTAAACTTCCTTTTCCAGGGAGACACTTTATCAAATCTTTTTGCTGCATTTCAAGAAAAGGTAAATATGTTCATAGAATTTTGGAATAATATGGATGAAATTGATAATCAAACTTGGGTCATTGAACCTGAAAATCCAAATCGAAAGGAATGTAAAAGAAGAATTGCTTTAGGTAAAACAAAATTTGTGATGCACATTATTCAGATAGTTGGTTTTTTAAGTTTCCAAAATTTTTTCAGCCTAAAGAATAGATATACTTGAGTAAAGTAATTTTTTTAATATCCTAAATATTCATCAATAAATACTGTTAGCTTCAAGTAATTTATCATAATATTAATAGAATTAAATGTTTTATTCTATACCATTAAATGAAAGATGTATTAGATATTTACTTGTTTTTGATCAAATTATTATGAAATAAAATTGTAACATGTTGAATTATGATGAATTAATAAACTTAAGCAAGCAATAGATTTATATGATACATAATTATATTAGGTTTGAACTCAGATAGTTCAAAAACAGATGTCATTCAAATCTGCAAAGTTTATCCTTTAAAAACTTTAAATTTATTCATTATAAAATGTGATGCCTAATCCTGTATTATTATTCTATGTTATTTGTTTCTGTAGAATTTCTTGGTGACTCACAAGTTGTTTCCCATTAACATTTAATTGAAAAAACATTTTTTTTTTTTTTTTTTTTTTTTTTTTTGAGACGCCGTCTTGCTCTGTCGCCCAGGCTGGAGTGCAGTGGTATGANTTTTTTTTTTTTTTTTTTTGCTAAGATTTTCCCTGCATTTTGTAATCTTAATGATGAATCATAATGTTTTCATTTTTTCAATCTTTATAAATGTATTGTAGGGGCTTCAAACCTTTTTGTATAAGACCATTTTTTTACATTAAAAATAACAAGTATATTAAATTTAAGAGTATCTGTTTAGTAATTAATATGTTTATTAAGTATCAATTATTAGATAAAATACAGAAAATGTTTCAAAATGAATTAAACAAGGTATGAAGTAGATCAAATGGGAAGGTTATTTTGCATATAGAACTGAACTGTGTAAATATGGTATGGGATTATCAATAATAAAAGAAATAAAAAACTGAAGCATAAAAGAATTAATAATTTGCTTTTTAATGAAGTGTTCAGCCTGAAAAAAGTTTAAGGTTTAAAGTGAAAGTTTACCAAAAAATAAGTCATCAAGAAACTTCATCAAAAGTCACCTAGAAACTCTCATAATCCACCTCTAAAAACTTGCAATCCAAATTTGTATAAATATCAGAACTCATAGGTTAGCAGCTCGTGATCTAATTTTGTAAAAATCATTGAACTACTATTTGAATTCTTATTTTAAAACCTTTACAGTATTTAAATTTAAATCCAAATTTTTTAATAATAAAATTTCAAATTTTCATAAATGATTTAAAATTTTAGAGATAATTCTTTAAAAAAAATTATTATTAAGTAACATTATTTTCTGTGTGTAACCTAATTCGTTAGAATTGATTAGTTTTATTAAATTGAGTTTTTTTTCCCCCAGCATCAGGTGTTTCTTTGTTGCTTGTCATTAACCCTCTTTTGCCAACTTCTATACCAACCTGTAATTACTTAGGACCAGAAAGAAGTAAGTATAAAATTAACTTCAAAGCATGAAGCATTTTATTGGTGTTTATTTATTTATTAGTTTTCTGTAGAAGTTATGTAAAAAAAATTTTAGTCATGTGAAATTTTATTTTTGTTTTGAGTTAGATACAACCAAATTTTGTATAAATTCATTGAATTCAACTCAGTATTTTGACAAAGATGTCGTGACACCTTGCTCAGTATACATTCTAATGTGTAAAATCTATCAAAAATGAAACATTATAGTGAATAAAAATTAATTAGAAATAGTATTTTAAAAAAATAATTTATGCAATAAAGAATAGAGGTGTTTGTATTTTAAGTTGATCTATTTCTTTAGCTAGTGTTCATTGTAAAACACTCATATGTATAATAATTAATGCCTCTTAATTCTAAGTAATTTAAATATTTTCGTCACACTTTATACAGAATTAGTTATAACATGCATTTAACTTTCTTAAACAATGACCATCGTCTACGTAACAGAAACCCTCTATCCTAGCAGTTTGTGCTACAGATCATTACAGCATATGTAGATTATTTATCATCTAAATTTCATTTTTATTTTTAAAAATCAAAGAAAACAATACATGAAAATTGCTGAGATTCCTTTTTAAAGCATCTCTAAAAAATTTTATAATAAATATTAGAAAGACGAATTGAGAAACATGGTAAAGATTTTTTTTTTGTGTTACTTTTTTTTTTAATTATTAGTATTATTTTATTATTATTCCATAAAATTCAGCTTAAATGTTAACAACGTGAAGTTTTATGTATAATTTTTAAGTACTTAATAATAGAAAATTTTGCTACATAAATATTAGATGAAGATGAATTTTTACAATATTATCTCTGACTAAGTGCATTAAGGTCATTGACAAATTTGGATTTATGAAGATTTTGCTGCAGATTTACTCCATAAATTTTTTTTGCTGAGGCTATCGCTAATAAAATTACCTCACTATGAGCCACTTGTTAAAATCATATTTGACTAGAAAAAAAGACAGAATCATGACATTATTTGGCATTACAAACATCCTATAAAAATTTCATTGGCAATTTTTTTTTTTTAGAGAATTAAAATTTGGAATTTTATATTCTATGAATGAAAAGATTTTATTTTTCTTGTCTTTTCATACTTTTTATATTTTTATTTATTTAAGGAACAAAGAATTTTGACCACAAATTTAGTTTGCTATGTTAAATTTACTTAAAAAGCACTGAAAATGTTAATGTTCGCTATGTTAAATTTATTTGAAAAGCACTGAGCCTAGAAAATGAATTCAATTTCCAAGAAAGGTTATACATCCATCTTGAATGAAAAGTGTGACCATTTTAACATTAATTTGTTCCAACTATAGAAATTAAATTTAGGTAATTACATGCTTTCTTATTGCAAAGGAAATAATATTTAAACAAATAAAAGTAGCAACTGAAATATCCTTTCAATTACTCCCCAACTTACAATAATTCACTTTGGTCTCTCGATCTTACTTCAGCCATGTGTATAATTTTAATATCATTATTTATATATGATTATTATATGAATTTAACTCATTACATTTTTTGAACATATATGTTTTCTTTGTATATAATATTCTGATTGAAAAAATTGCTTTGATATTTTCTATCATCAATTCTTTTACAGTTGTTGAGCCCATCAGAGAAAAATTTAATAAAAATATTCGTTTATGGTAAGTATTGTTAAATATTCACATAACAATAAGCTAATATTACGTATAATTATGTTGATTTATATGTGAAACTTTTTGATATGAAATAAATAAATGTGAATATTGCATATATTCTCGTCCTATTTTACAACAAATTATAGGATTGCAAGTGAAATGCTTAAGCATAAATAAAACTGTATAATGTGCCAAAGTACAATTTTCATCAAATGTTAATTGGTGGAAAAACTGAAAAAAAATAATCCCCCTCCCCCGAAAAAAATGGCATATATGAATACTATCTGCAGAGAGAATGGGCTAAAAAAATTTTTAGAGATTTGCCCAACAACATGATGTTAAATGAATTTGTAAATTTAAACCAATTTTACTAAATGCTAATATTGCCATCAAATATGTTTCAAAAAAATTTTTTTTTGAATTTGTATAATTGATTGAACTAAATCTTTGTTGTGTTAAGTTAATTGTGACTATTTTTTGTGATACTGTACAGTGGAAGCCAAAATTTGCCAAAAATGTTTTTAACCAAATAAACATTGAAATTTTACTCAATGCTCAGTTTTATTGCTCTAAATCAGCTATTGAAAGTATATTAATTAAAATAAAAGAGTAATATTGAAAATTCAATAAGACAGGAAATGTCAATTTATTTTAGGTTACATGAAGATGCATTTTGAGTTTAATTTAGAGCTCTATTTATAACTTGTGCAAAATTTGAAAGCTAACATAAGCATAATTCAAATAGAGAATGAGGTGGTAGATTTTTCCCTACATTTTTAAAAAGTTCTTAAAAGTGCTTAATTTTCCCTTTTTCAAAATCAGATTTTTCCTTTACCATGTTGATTTTTGCTACTAATTATGCAAAAAGACACAGTTCACATTGTTCGATTCAACGTTTTCACAATTAATTCAACTCCAATTTGGCGTACCGTCGGTCCATAGTGTATGAAAAAGCCATTAGTTTTACATGATTCAAAATTTCGTGATTTTTGACAATTTTCAAAAACAATGCCATTTTTTTTCTTGTTGACATGACGTTTAAAACAAGATAAAACAGTCAATTGTCAAAAACTTTCCAACCCTGCCTGATTATGATACTTTTTAAAGTGTTTAAAAATGTTTTTTGAGTGCTTGAAGAGTGCTTAAAAGGTGCTTATTTTTTGTTGAATAATTTAACTACTCACCCTGATATAAATAATTAAAAGTTAATCTGTTATGAAGTCTCTAAACACTGTGAGTTATAAAGATAAATAAAGTATCATGAAATAGTTACATTTTATTATTTTTATATTTATTGTTGTTTTTTACAGGAGTGAATATGACTCTCTGCTTACCAATCTTCGTCAAGTACTTGAAGTAGAATTTCCATCTCCCACAACTGCTGCCAAAGAAGTGAGTTTATATTTTTATTTTATTAAAAACTTATTTTGGAAATTATTACAAGTCTAAAGAATCATAATTCGTGCTTGTAGTAGCCTCATAGCAGTTCGGAGCATATAAGTCAACTTAACTTAAATTGTTATCTTAATTTTTGAATTTCACTAAAGTTTACGTGAATGTAGCTTACTGAAAGTGGTTTAAAGGATGAATCTCCAGCACTGTAATCTGTAGATTATTTTATTATCTACCGTTAAGAAAAATAAAATTTGATGTTCTGCTAAAAATACATATCATTCATTTAATTGCAGTGTGACATGAATTAACCTTGTCATGCTATGCACAATGTTTTAATGCTTTTTAAAATATAACAATCAAACTTTCATAAAAACAGGCTATTTTTAAAATGGCTATCTTTGACGGCAATGCAAATCTGTAAATATCTCACAAAATTTCCTGCTGTTGACTGCAACACACTTACTGATAAAGTATCTCATTCTCTGCAGATTTTTTTTAATGTGAATTAAAGTCTTATAAGGTTATAAGCACAAACTACTTTTGACTCCAAGTTAAACCTAACTAAAAAATCTATTGAATTCAAGTCTGGTGAATAAGGTGGTCATTCTCATGTTGTTATAAAGTCTAAAAAATGCAGTACCTTTAACTGTGTGTACTGAAGCAGAATCTTATTTGAACACATTTGTTAAAAATCCATCCCCCCTCCCCATTTAACTTCTATTAATAAAGCATAACATCTCCCAAAAATAAATTGAAATGATACATTATGTTTTAAATCTTATCCAAATTATGTCTTAATACTCTATAAATGAGTTAAATCATATTTTTCTTTATAATCTGCTGCAATTGAATATGTATGATATGTAATTTCTAATAACTAATATTATTTATCCTCAGGAATTTTGTTTGGAATGTGGCATTTGCTATTCTCATCTTTATAACAATGCAGTTCCAGAAATAAATTGTGATAATTCCAACTGCAATCAGGCTTTCCATCGAGAATGTTTATATGAGGTTTGGATATTCATTACCTTTTTATTAAAAAATACATTAATACTTTTTTTTTTATTCTAATTACGTATATAACATGGAATGTTTATATGAGGTTTGGATACCCATTACTTTTTTTATTAAAAAATACATTAATACTATTTTTCTTATTCAAATTATGTATATGACTTGCCACAACCATTATAATGCTAAATGAATATTGCAACATAATTGTGATTTGGGAATTATATTAATTATTTACTAAGTGCATCTTTTCTGTTTTTTGTGTCTTAAAATATATATATAGTTTTATAAATAGCCACAATTAAAGAACTCATTTTAAAAGTGAAATTCTTGAATAACAAATACTTTTAGTAATAAATAGTATTTTTTAACAGTTATTAAATATTCAACAGAATTTTCAATTGCCATATTAATTTGTTTAGAAACTAGAGCATTTATAAGCAAGTGAAATTAATAAAATAGTAATATTTTTACCCATAAAATCTGTTGTCTAATGTTCTTGAAATACTCCTCTATAAACCTGTTGAATGCGAAATTTATTCTAATAAAAAAATTGGAATGTGCCAAAGCTTACTCTGTTTTTTTTTTTTTTTTTTTTTTTTTTTTTTTTTTTTTTACTAAAATGTGGTTTGCATTACTTTTATTTATGTAACTACTATCGACCACGTTTTCTGCATTTGCATCATTAATCACACATTTGTATCATGGTCTTTACTATGTAATATAATAATACCGAAATTGTTAAGAAGATAGATCAAACTCATTTGCTTTTAAATTTTATATTTCTTTCAATGAAACTTGATGTCCCAGTCCAGTATGATAAATGTGTAATGACGTTTATAAACATCAAGTTTATAATCATACAATATCATAACTTAAATGTCACTAAATTAAAAGAAGTAAGGTTCTTTTGTTTAAACATATCATTGACAACAATATCATTTCAACAAGAAAAAATTTCTTTTGATACTATTGTATTTTTGTATCCATTTTATTTTGTTATTCTTAATTATTTATTATAGGAAATGATACTAAATATTTTATTTGTGTTATTTTTAAATAACATGTACAAAATTTACGAAAGAATTATCTAAAAGGACAATTTGATGTTTTTTCATTGGTTCAATCAATTTTAATATTTGAAGAAGTTGATCTGAATTAAATTACGCTGTCTTTAATTACATGATTATTAGCTGAAATACAGACATGAACTCTATAAGCAGTAACAATGAACTTCCCATGCTCTGTTTTATATTTTATTTTATAACCATTGATGAACAGTCGACCCAATTTTGAGTTAACAACTACCTATGTTCAACTTAGTAGCCTTGTAATTTTGAACCCAGTTCACCTGATTGGAGAGACGAGTGCTCTATCACCTGAGCCACCTCGGCTCTCCATGTTGGGTTGTGACCTTTTTGATTCGTAGACTATTGATACAATTGCTTCCATTGATACAATATGCTTCTATTGTTCTCTATGTCCCTTGTATTTATTGTTGTAGTTGTCTGTTAATCTTGCCTTCAGAAATTAAAAAATAGTTTTAATTGTTGAAAGAGCATTTAATGCTTTTAAATTTCATTTATAAACTGATATTCTTTCATTTTTAATAATTTTGAAATGTTAAAAAAAGTTTTTATGTTGGAAGCATTTTCGAAAGTATATGATATGTTTTCTTTTGTCTTTCAATTATACATTTCCATACCTGCCAACTCTTATGCTTTTCAAAAAAGTGACACTTTCAGAGAGCTTGCATGTTACTATATATATGATCTAATTATTCATATGTAATAGTAGTTCTTAAATCTTTTAAAACTGTATTTATTTGAAGAAGAATAAAATGGGATTACACGAAATTTGCCACCACATTAAATGTAGAAATAAAATCTTCTGGGAAAACCAGAAGAGTTGGCAAGTATGCATGTCTACTTACCACAAAATTTATTATTGATCTTTAAAATGTTTTCAAGAATGAATCAATTTTAATAGTTTTATTTACCTTGAATAATCTTATTTTTTAATTTCAGTATATTAGAATGTTACCTGATGTGAGAAGTAGCTTTAATAAGCTGTTTGGAAAGTGTCCTTATTGTGAAACTGTAAGTTTACAATTATAATTCTAAAAATAAAAATTTTTAGTTTAATTGTATGCCCTAGAGCTCGAAAAACCGCCCGTCTTTGGCGGTCAAAAATTCCCCGAAGACAACAAATTTCTCGAATCCAACGTCCGCCCGGACGGCCATTTTCCCGTTAATGTTCGTGATACATTTTCAATTTTTGTTATCTTACAAGAGTTTAACGCCTCACTTCTAAAATGACCCTCTAATCTAGAAATACAGCAACATACTGATCGTAGTGGAATTGATGTTTTCTCTGTCTGGGAGTATTGCAGGGATTGAAAGAGGTTTTTCAGCAATGAACTTACAAAAAAACACAATATGTACTGGTCTTAAACACGGAGCGTTAAACGCAATTATGAACATCTGCCTGGATGGAAAACCCCTTTCAGATTTCTGTGCAGAAACCTCTGTTAATCATTGGCTTGATTGTGGAACTGGCAAGCGTCATATTTGATTCATTTAGAAAAAGCAGTAACCTCGGATAAATTGACATTCCAGATAACTTGACCTTTGTCATTTAAATTATTTCATAAAAGAAATACTAGGCTTTACTATTAGTAACCTAGTATTTCTTTTACTGTATAATGTAATCCTGGTAACTACTAATTCATTGAGCAATTTATATAAATGTTAGTAATAAATAAGAGAAAATTATATTTTTATTTATTTAGAAGCTACGGGTTAGTTTCAAAGAAAGACGAGTACATTGTTGGACAAGCCGTCCTCAGGGACGGGGATTTTTCGAGCCCTGGTGTGCCCTGTGCCATTAAAGTTTAAAACGAGCTCAGTCCAAAATACTTATTCAAAATGCCTTTGAAAGTGAAATCTATACTAATACAATCCTTATTTAAATAATAGTTAATGTTGTAATTATCCTCCCACTCTGAAAGCATCATAAACATTTACCTAATTTGTAATACCTTAGTGAGAAATGTTTATTATTATTATTTCCTGTTAAATTTCTGTAAATTAATGGAGCTGGCTTGAAACTAATGCCCAGCTTATAGAATCTGTATATTTAAAACCATTTTTAATCAATCCTATATAAACGGCAGTAAAAATTGTATTAAATTTCAGTAGAAGTGCATAATGTTTTCTCCCAAGTTAAAGCTTCAAAAAAAATTTGTTAGTTTTTTTTTTTTTTTTTATAATATATGGCAAATTTTCTTTGAATTTTTTTTTTTTTTAAACAATGAGAGAAAGTCAATTTTTAAATACGCATAGTTAAAGAATTTTAAAATTGTGCTTCTTTCTTTTTTTCAGCCTCTTTGGTGTATGATACCATAAACCAGGAAGAAAAATATTGTGGAATATGATATTGTTATTAAATGTATCGGTGTAAATATTTTTGATTTAAATCACTGTTTTTTTTTCTTTGCTGTTTACAGTGTTATGTGAAATGTGTGACACAAAAAAATAATTTATAATATTGTAAAATAAAAATTTTAATTTTCATAAAATAAAATAAAACGTTGTAGATTGGAGAAGTGATATAGTTCAAATGTCTTGCAAGTACCTCTTAGTAAGTGCTATAATGATACCAAAAATAATTTCTTTCTTTATAACTTTAAAACATTCTAAAATCATTCATGTTCAAATGTGTAACTAACATTTAACTTAAATGGCTTGTTTTGAATATGAATTAAAACCCATAAAAAATCAGTGTAGTATTAAAAAATATGCAGGTTGCTGAAGACTGGGATATCTTTAAACAGAAGTCTTTGTTACAGAAGAAATATTGAGAACATTTTTTGTCAAAAATATTTATGCATTTTTTAAAATTTTCTGAAACAAATCCCTTTGTTAGGCCTACTGCCTACTTTTTTTGCCAATTTGGTAAGTACCATGTTTCTGAGTATGTTGCATCAGATGTGTAGTATTCATTTTTGATGCAATCACAGAAATACAAAGTTACATCAGAAATTTTCATAATTTAAATTATCTTTCTCAGCATGCTTCTTTTTTATGGAGCAATAGCTCTGTTTTTCTAGAACTTTTAAAATAAGGATATGGTTGCGTTGGGTTATGGTTAAAAAGCAGGCAGTAAACAATGCAATGGGGACCAACTTTTGATCGTACTGCCAACGGAACTATTAAAATCACATTTCCCAGGCAAGATAACCCCGTCTGAGTTAGTCGTCATTTATTTAAATAATGTATAACAAAAAGAAGGAGTATGGAAACATAAGTTAAAATTATTTGCGGAATGAATATACTGAACTCCCAGTTATAGTTAAACGAAATTTCGGTCCCTTGAAGGTTCACTATTATTGACTGTATTATAATTAGATTTACCAGACTTCCAAATAAAAAAATATTAATCTTAAATTTGCATTTGGCCTCTATACGTAATTTGCAATAAACATTTAAATAAGGCCAAAATGCAGCCCACTGTCACACATAGAAGAGCTTAAATAAGGAAATCATAAATATTGATGCAAAAAGTAAACAAGCTAAGACGAAATTCCTTACTGGTCCCTCTCTTTTTCAATCACCAACTTCTCAGCCTTCCTTCACCTCTCATTGTCTGAAAATTCGATGTGTCGGATATAGAGAAACACTACAAAAATAGGTAGCTATGTACAGCAAGGTTCAACTGAGGAAAAGAGACGCTAGTTTAAACTTATCATAAAATGAAATGAAAGCTATTAATTCAAAGCAGTGCAATTTCAGGAAAATCAAAACATAGAAAATTTAAATGAATTGCATGACAAAGATGGATGTAGCAATAAAACAACTGCTTTTAATATATATGTTGTTGTTGTAGTTCATTTACGTTGTGGCGACGGTCTGGGAAACATCCCTGAGGATGATCCTCAAAACATGTAATCACAATTTTGATTCTCTGCAGAGGGGATGACAACAACCCCGCTTCGATTTAATATATATGTGTGCGAGCCGTGGTGGCTCAGGGGATAGAGCGTTCTGACTCTTGTTCAAATCCCAGCAATGGCTGGTCGATGCAATCTTGCACCGACCATAGTGCTGACGAAAAATATCCTCAATGGTAGATAGATCATGGGTTAGAGTACCCTTGCCATCAGACTAACCATAGGAGGTTTTCGTGGTTTTCCTCCCCATGTAACGCCAATGCGGATTATTTCCATCAAAATGTCCTCCATGAAGGCAAATTACTCCCATTACCTGATCCAGGAGTTCCCTTGTCTTCTGGATTGGGTTCAAAATTACAAGGATATGGAGTTGATCATTAGTAGTCGTAAACTCAGAATTTGGTCGAATGTTCGACCAAACGACTATTATAAAAAATTATATATAAGCATTTAGATTCCTCGTCAAAAAAGCAGATACGTAAGGCTCACAAGTTTGTTTTTTGATGAGGAAAAAACTAAAATGCTGTTGAGATCTTAGGAATCACAAATCAAGATGTGACTGAACCAGTTAGATTGCTGGAATAAACCGAAGTGGTAAAATCATTTTTGATGTCAACTACAAGTTTTAACTGTCTATCAAACTGATTTTCATTCAGACTTTTTTCACTAGGGATTTAACACTGAAACATTATTTTGCGACCATTAATGTGTGTACTTTGTTAACCTCATTCTTTACAAAAATTCTAAGAGTATAAAATGTTTTGATGCTACAGCTTTATTGCATTCATATGCAAAGTAATTATTTAAATGATTGTAGCGTTAATTAATTATTAGAAAAATCATAAATAATAATAATAAAATCGATATAGTTTTAAATGAATTTTTGAGTACATTTTAGATAAGTAAGTTTATTTAAGAATATCTTTTCTTTTTTTTTTATCTCTTCTAAATATTAAGTTTTATATGAAGACGGAAATTATTTACCATTGTATTTATTCATCTTAAATCTTTCATTGTCATGATTGTCTGTCATATTTTTTTAATAGTAAAAATCATATTTAGGAATATCTTAAGACGAAAAATAGGCCATTGCAGATAATCTACGAAAAATATTGATAATTTTTAAAAACTGCAAATACATCTCATATTACACGTTTTATTACCATGTTTTCTCGTTCGAAAGGTAGAAAGGGTTTTGAGGTTTAAAAAGTATATTTTCAAAATAAAAATCTCGTTCTTAATAAATCATTGTCGAGCATGTTGTGCATAGACTTGCGACATTATTTCGCTTAATATTAATTCCATTTTCTTTTACAAAAAATTAAAGAAATAACAAAGCATTATTTACGTTTAAATTATACATAAATTATTATAACTTGAAAATAGATCAAGACTGTATCTTGAAATATCAATATTTTTTATGCATCTATAATTGAAATTATTTTTACGCGATCTTGTGAATACACTGTCTTACGATAAAAATTTAATAAACGATAATATCGTGGTCATTATTAATAAGATTAAATCGCGAAAATAATTAATTTCTAAATGATAACGATGGTTTTTGAATGCAATTCTAGTGTTGTTGTAGTTCATTTACGTCGCACTAGAGCTGCACAATGGGCTATTGGCGACGGTCTGGGAAGCATCCCCGAGGATGATCCGAAGACATGCCATCATAATTTTGATCCTCTGCAGAGGGGATGGCATCCCCGCTTTGGTAGCCCGACGACCTGCACGCGAAGTCGAGCACTTTACGGTAGAACAGTTTAACGAGGACTAATACCGCACATCCTCGGTCCCTACGCAGACTGATCCAAGTGGTCACCCACCCGCACACTGACTGCAGCCAGTGATGCTTGACTTCGGTGATCTGCTGAGAACCGCGTGTTAACAATCAGTCCACTGCGGGACGAAGTTCTAGTGATACCACGCAATATGTAGGGAGAAAAAAAAACTATATATAGAAATATTAACTTTTGAGCTAGAGAAAAAAAGCTATATAATCATATTTAGAATAATTCATTTGGTTTTGGCGAAGTTACTCGTTAAATTATTAGATTTAAAACAGCTATGACGTGATCATTGTGTTAAGATTCTTGCAAACGTGGTATTTGAATACTTATTACTAAACTTAATCTTGCTCCTCGAACAATATGCTAACACTACACTAAGTTGGACAAATGGAAAGGGGCCAAATCCAGACTGCCAAAAAAGCGAGTTATTCAAAATCTAGCAACCATGTCACCTTTTTTAACAATATATCTCTTAATAACTAAAGTCCCGCAGTGGACTGATCGTTAAGACACGGTTCCCAGCAGATCACCGAAGTCAAGCATCACTGGCTACGATCAGTGTGCGGGTGGGTGACCACTTGGATCAGTCTGCGTAGGGACCGAGGGTGTGCGGTATTGGTCCTCGTTAAACTGTGCTACCGTAAAGTGCTCGACTTCGCGCGCAGGTCGTCGGGCTACCGAAGCGGGGGTGCCATCCCCTCCGCAGAGGATCAAAATTGTGATGGCATGTCTTCGGATCATCCTCCGGGATGTTTCCCAGACAGTGGCGTATCTAGGGTATGGCAGGCGGGGCGAGAGCCATGGGCACATTATTTGAAAAAAGGCGCAAAATCAACCAGCACCAACGTTTCTTTCTTTTTTTCAAAATATTTTGATATTTTGTTTGTTTTAAAAAAATAAATTTCACATACATACAAATACAAATTTTAAAAACAATAATAAAAATTTTAAAGAACTAAATAAAACACTGAAAAGAATCATTTAGAAAACTCTCCAGAATGCAGAATAAAAACTTCCAATGATCCTCAGATAAATCTTTATTTTTCCAGTACCACAAGCAAAAAGATAAGCAAACACCTCTTCATATCACATTACCAGGATGTTAAAGGGCAATTATCTGGGGATGAATAGAACACCTGCAGGCAGAGAATAGCCCTTTGGTGGTGACAGAGGGCAAAGAAATGTGAAAACCATGGAGTGTCCCTGTCTAGTTTAGCCCAATTATCATACCCTTAAATGCTTGTAGATCTTAAATTTTATCAGGGGTGAAAATCACTTTGAAAAGCGGCTTTCGAATTTGTTGAATATACAAATAGAACCCTTGCTGTAAATTGGCGTAAATCCTTCCAAAAAGGGAGGTTTTGCCACACATGGTGGGAATCACTGTCACAAAATATTTAAATACTAAAAATAGGAGATGCCTCTGTCTTGCTTAAACCAATGGTAATACACCCCATCTATTCCCTTTTTATGAAAAAAAAAAGACAGTCATAAGTGTAATTTAAACGAAGTGTTAGGATTTTCTTATAATCAAGGATTAAATTGTAAGTAATCATTTCTTATTTATGCATCATGCTCACTTTATTATTTCACGTTATATTTTGTAGCGATCGATTTATTTTCTTTTCTAGCAATGCCAACTGCTCCACTTTCTTTAAAACATTTTATTGAGTGGTAGTTAAAAACGAAACCATGCAGAATTTAAGATAATTCTGGTGAAATTTATAACTCTCACCTGAAACAAAATTATGTTTCATATAATTTTTTTCAATTATTTATTATTTATACGTAGAGGGGGGAAATGGTTTTACATTAAATAAGCAAAGAATCATACAATAAATATAACTTTAGTTCTCAATAAAAAATATTTTTCTACACGGAGCAGAGCAAGTTTGCATCTTTGTATAAGTAGATTGAGAGGGGCGTTTACTACATTATAATATTTTGTTTTTGTATATAATTATTTTTATTAAAAAGAACATTTAATATGCACAATGATATTTTGGTAATAAAAAGTGAACTTTGTGTAATTAAATGCTCGTTATTGTATTATTATTATTAAAAACAATGACTTAATGGGGAAAAGAAAATGAATGTTAAAATTTGAAATATTGGAAACATAATTTTTCAAGTTTCCTGAAAAATTATTGCAATAAGTAAATATTTTTGTGTAAATTGCGTATCATTGGCTCAGTTAAGAGTGCCGACTACCGAGAAATAGATTTCTTTTCATTCATTAAAACAGTGCTTCTTAACCTTTTTGATATAATGGACCATTTTAAAATTTTTTTAAGAAGTCACGGACCACCCCCCTGTGAAAAAAAATAATTGCAAAAAACATCAATTATTAGAAAACATTTAATTTTATTATTTTAGTAGTATAAAAAATTTTTAAAATTAAAATTTTTAATGAGAAGGTTGCTGCTGCTTTTCCTTAATTAATAAATTTAATTGGGGGATGGTTTTCGATAAAGCAACGTGTATATCATGTTCAACATTCAATCGATTTCGATGTTATATTTTTATTGTCACAAGTGTGGAAAATTCCGCTTCGCAAAGATACACTGTAGCAAACGGAATTATAGCTGCCATAGTTCGATTTACAAGCAATGGGTAGGCTTTCAAACGTTTTAAAAATTAGGAGTAGTCAGCGGACCCCCAAAATATAACTCATGGACCCCTTAGGGGTTCATGAACCACAGGTTAAGAAACCCTGCATTAAAAGATAGATTTTAGGTTTGAACACTCATAAAAGTTCAATTTATTTATTTTTAATTAATTAATTAATTTTTTTAATGTATTTATTTATTGAATGAATAGATTAAGGAACGCATCTGTTAGTTTCTCAAACTGATTTTTTTTTTTTGCTTTTAAGTCACAGAAATTCACAAACAATTTTAATTTTAAATTAATAACTTAAGCTCAAGTTTAAATAATCCTTTTGTTTACAAATTGAGAAAAAAAGATATGTGTAATTTATCAAGACCTTACTTTGTATTTTTTTTAATTTCAAAGCATCTCAGACACAAAATTGTTTAATCTTTTACCTGCTATAGACCTATTTTGGTAGTCATAAATTTTACTTGAAAAAACTGTTTTTAAATAAATAATATAAAGTGTTTTAAATAAATAATATAAAGGTTCATATAAAGTGTCCTTTATTTATATATTTGTCCATTATAATTAAAATAAAATGGAAACAAAATATCATTGAGACTATAATATGTATTTTATAACTATCTATTAAAGCAGCACAATATCAACAATCTTTTTTTTTTCCATTAATTGATTCCCTTTATTTTAAGAAAATAAGTAAAAATAATAATAAACATCTTATCGAAAAATTCGAGCTTGTTTATTTATGAAACATATGCATTTTTATAAAAATTCAAAAAGCCCTCTCTCCTCAAAATATTCAAAAGATCTATATTTCGCTTTTTTTTAAAAAGAACATCTTAAAACTAATTAAATTCAATTAATTTTGGAAAGACTTATTCGGATAATGGCTTTGTCTATAAAATATCGATGGTTAAATCCTTTATTTTGAATATTAATTATTTGTTGCTTGTAAACTGAAGTTGCATTTTAATGTAAAGGTTCTCGATTGGGTAAATTTTTAACCGCTTAAAATTTTAAACTTACTTATCACCCCAGACAATATTTAAATTTTAGAAAAATGTGTGTGCATCATTAAATTTTTAAACGAATAACAGATAAGGCAAAATTTACTTTATTAATAATTATGTATTTGTCGATCTATGTGTTTGGATTAAATTAGATCATATGAATTTTAAATAATTTTTTCTGTAAACATGCATTTCGTCCCTATCTTTTTTTTATATTTTCACCTAATTGCCGCTTGAGTGTAAAATTTAAGAAACGACATTTTTATTAACTAAGGTTTAACGTAGTAATTTGGTCACATAATAGTCTACTTTGGTTTTAATAAACCTTAATTATAGAAACTTCTCAGAACTATTCAAAATATTTAATAATAATATTACATTACCTTCCTTTAAAAAACATTTTATGCCCGCTCAAAATAATATATTTTTTTTAGGTAATTCTTTCAGCAATTTTTTTTTTATCATAGATTATTGTAAAACAGTTTGTATTTATTATATTAATTCAGAACATTTCTTCTTAAAAAATTAAGTTTCTATCCTCTATTTCATTTTTTTATTTATTTTGTGAAATATGTGAAAATTGTGTGACGAATATGAACTAAAGAAATTAATATGTGTTTTTAACATTTTAATATTAGTGCAGATTTTCTAAATGTGTTTTCAGTTATTATTGTACTATTGTTAAATTTTTGTTTCTTTACATAAAAATAATATTCCATTTAGGTAGCTAAAATTTAAAGGAAATATATTAGGGGGGAGGAGGGTGTCATTACGATGCACAGAGTTTCGACCTGTTTTTCTAATCTAAGCTTCTAGGGAAAATTTTGAAGATCAAAAACATAAATTCGATGAAAAATGAATGACATGTTTACCAAGCTGAAGTAAGTTTTTATATTCAATTTTATTGCTCAAATTATTGTATGCATTAATTTTTTAGCTTATTTCTATGGATTTAAAGAAAAATAAAGTCATTTACAATTTTATCGTAATATTTCGTAATTTAAAATAAAAGATTTAACTTTTCTCTATCGAACCATTAAAATTTTAATTGTACATGATTATCTGATACTAATAATAGGATTATCAAAGGTAATTCTTTTTCTAATTTACTTGATAGGTTCCAACCACCTTCGGACTTATGTGTATAAAGTGAACAAACAAAAATTAAAACGAAGAATTTTTAATTTAAATACACAAACTTTTAATTAAATATTTAATTCTTTTGAATAGTCCCAAGTCTACAATATGATTTTAAAAAAAGTTTTATTACCCTAAAAAAGAAAAAAAAAACCGAAACGAAACTAAAATGTCTATACTTTTAGTGTCTTTATTTTCCTTTAAAAATTTCAAGCACAATGGCTCAAAAATATGTACATAGTGGTTTCCATTTTCTCTAACTACTTTAATATTAATTATTATCAGCATTATTAAAGAAGGTATTTCTTGAATTATCACTAATAATCATCCGAGTTTAGAATATATTAAAGATAATAAAATCTATTGCGACTTTTGATTTCCAGGATCTTTTCCCCTTTCTAAACCAAAAGATGTCTTTTTGAATTATTACTATGATTTTAAAAATATCTTTCATTGTGATTTTGATCATTGGAAAATTCTAATTAATTTTTGTCTTTTTAATAACTACCTTTACAATGAATAGAATTTTTATTCAAATTGATGGACTACCACAAGGATCTAATTTTTCATCTCTCTTAGCTAACTTATTTTGGCACTATTATGAAGAAAAAAATCATGCTCTTAATATTAAACATGTTTTTAAATTTATTGCTCAGCCTTTCATCCCTTCAGTGGGTCGATAAATGAGTACCAAGCATGCTTGGGAACTAAACACTGGGGGTTTTGCGTTCGACTGACCACCTAACCAGAACATCTGCTCCTGCACCCCAGAGCCCAAGGTCAAGTTAACTGAGATGGGCACAGTAGGCTTTGTTCCTCTATGGGCTGTCGCGCCACTAAGTTTAGTTTTTAGTTTAGATTTATTGATGATTTAACTATCTTTAATTTTCAAGGTTACACAATTTTTTTTAAATAACATTTACCCGGAGGAATTAATCTTGTTTTGTAATCAAGATGATAATATTAATTATAATTTTTTAGATTTGGGTATTATAAAAGAAGAAAATATCTGCTTTGTTGATTTAAACGATCAAAGAAGTGATTTTAATTTTAATATAAATAAACTAATTACTTTAAAATTCTAATGTTTCTAAAATGCTTTTAATGTTTAGAATTCTAATCTACTTAAATACCATTTTTAATTAACTGAATAGAATTAAATAGAACATAAAGTAATGTTTATTTATCCAAAAAAAAAATAGGCAAACTCTTTAAAAATTTGATAAAAAAACAATGGATATTCAACTAAAGTAATAAAAATTGTGAAATCATTAATTTTATTGTATGTTATTATAAATAAGTTTATTAAAAACTTCTTGGATAATTTATATAATTTCTACCATGTGCAAATGCATTTCGGGCAATTCCGTGGCTAAAAATATGCGCAAAATGGCGATTCGTGTTTCTTTCTCTCTTTTTTCCCCCTCTTAAATAAATGTGATTTTTCTAAAATCATTAAAATTGTATAATTGAATATCAACTTTATTAATTATGAACTTATCCAGTATAATAACACTTTGCGCATATCCATTTTCGAGCAAATCCTTGGTAACTAACAAATCAAACGCGCTTCAGTACTGTATTACACACATACATACATATATACCAGCTGGTGTGTATAGATATAATAGATATGTGTTAAACAATAGAGAATAATAAAAATATTTTAAGAAGGGCGCCGATAGGGAGGATTGCCATAGGCGCCATTTTCTCTAGATACGCCTCTGTTCCCAGACCGTCGCCAATAGCCCATTGTGCAGCTCTAGTGCGACGTAAATTAACAACAATAAATAACTGAAGCAAATTTTCACTTCAAACTCACCAGAATTACAAAATAACATTAATATCTTATGAAATACTGCAGAATTATCCGTTTGAAAATATCGCCTCGCAGAATAACATGTAGTAAGCAGCTGCAAACTTTCTAACCGGAACTAGAGCAGGTACTGGAGATTGTTATTGTTTACACTTTTACTGAAAACACCGTCCATACACGTGCGCATTATAACTGCACGTGTTAATATTAAATATGATATTATATAAAATTTATTTGTATTTTTTGAATGAATAATTAGAAAAGCAGCTTCCTGGTATCAGCTTGTTTAAAGTTCCAAATGTAAGCTTTTAATTATGATTTCGTTTGTTTGACTTTTATGCTATTAAACTTATTTTATGCTTTCAATAATATCGTAAGGATACTCTCTTTTCGAATTGTTTTTTAAACATCAATGTAAATAAATTTTGTTTTAAATCTTCCAGTTTGATCCACAAGTGTAATCTTTGCTTCTTGTCTATTTAATTTGTTTATCAGTTGTTTTAATTATTACTTAATCGTTAAAGTGATTGGTTTTTTCAAAAATTGCTTATTTTGATTGATGTGATCATCTAAACAATTATAGTTTGTAAAAAGTAATTCTAAATAATTGCAGTTTTTCATTCGAACATCCAGTTAACAGATTGAAATTTATGAAACACATTGTTAAAAATAGAATAATTTTACACATTAATTTGAATTGTAAGGAACATTCATTTATATGGATTTGTATGGCTTTCACTTAATAATAAATGAACTGAATCAGGCAAACATACTGTGATATCATTAATTTATTATTTTATTAATTACGGTAAAGTACCTAAGATTTTGGATTTTCCTTGTGTTATGGTAAAATTTATTGTTGTAGTTTCTAATTGTACTATGGAATGCTCATATCAGGTATTATAATTTTACTTGTTTGAATGACAAAATATTTGTTTGCCGTTGTATGACTTGTTTGACCGTATTTAGAAATTAAATAATTTTTTAATCACAAATTAATGTTAATTTCTTTTAATATACCTATCAAAAGAGATTTTATAATACATATTTTCTGATATGAGTTGTTTATATATAAATACCTCACTTTATTTATATTATTTTTTTAAGGATATTAATCTTCTTGAAAAGTGGCAAAGAGCAATTCCTCGTGCAGATAGGATGCTTAAGTTCACTGATCATGTTTGTGCTTTGCATTTTGGTGAAGATGATATTGAGATCCATTATACAGTTACATTACCCATTATCAAGTTACATTCATGTCAGTTTATTTTTGGGCTATGTAATTATATGTCAGTCGTTAAGATATAATATGAATGTTTCATATCAAAATATGTTTTTCTAGGTGGTTTGGAAGCAAGAAAGGGAACGGCCTAGATTGAAACCTTCTGCCACTCCTTCTAAATTCCCAAATTGCTGGCTATGTTGTCAGAGAGGCAGAAAAGTTTTCTAATTGCCATACTTGTTTAGACAGCCTAGTTTTTCAAAATGTTAATCCTTCCTATGCTGAATTGATAAAATTAAAGTCTAATGGTGGGTAACTGCTTCCCTCAGAGGAATTATTTAATTGCATTTCTTTATTAGAGAATACAAGTATGTCCACTGTCAACAACACCAATTTAAATATAAATACATTAAATGATATATGCGATAATCTGGAGGATTTAAATGTTACCCTATTAGGCTGCTCTGATGAGCACAAACATTCACTGACTGTGTCCATTGTAAATTTCTTTATTAGAGAATACAAGTATGTCCACTGTCAACAACACCAATTTAAATATAAATACATTAAATGATATATATGATAATCTGGAGGATTTAAATGTTCCCCTATTAGGCTGCTCTGATGAGCACAAACATTCACTGACTGTGTCCATTGTAAAATTATTTTTAATTACAAGAATGCACTTTCTTTGTGATTGCTCCAATCACATTGATGTTCGCAAAATTAATTAAACGAAAAAATATAGAAAATTATCCAAATTATAAGTTTTTAAAACTGTGAAATCGTCATTTGTTTTTAAATTAAATAGTTTTATGTTCATAAAAATACAATCTTGGTGGTATCTTTCATTTATTTATATCTGATTTTTTTTATGTTATTATTTTCTTCAATGAAAATTGTAAATTAATTTATTAGGTTCATCTTTGTCTTGAATATAAGCAAATTTCTCTAGCTTCTACCTGGATCTCTTATAATTTATTTCATAGATTTGTGTATTTTGCTGATTGATTCTTTAAAAATTTCCTTTTTTTTTCTGTCATCTGTTTAAATTTATATATTAATGTTAAAAAATTTTGTGTATTATTGTTTGTATAAAACAATTCTTAATGAACCATAAGATTCTTAATGAACATCTTAATTTTTTTCAGTTGTTAAAGTATCGTACAGAAAAGAATTTACAGAACGAAATTCGGAAAAAACTGAAAGTATGTGAATAGGTCGGTGATCAGATGCCAGATTGCAAATAAGTATAGTTGCATTTCTAAAACTTTATGCTGTAAAAAGAATTGGCTTTGTGCTTACTTTGCTAATAAAATAATATTTTTATGTAGTGAAAGAGCTAAACAGCACAACTCCTTAAAATTGTTTCCGGTTTCGGAATTTAACGGAAGTAAACAATTTAAGTTTTTTGTTTATTTTTTCGCCTCTAGCATAACTAGTTTCATTTATTCGAGTCATATGCTTAGAATATTAATACTATAATAATGGTAAGAGATTTGTTTTACTCCTAATTTAACTAAACAATTTAAATGCCTCTAAATGTTGTGTCTTTTGTTATTTTATGTACATAAATTATGCTCTTTTTAATTCTTATTTTTGGGAAGTAAATAACATTTTATCCTTTAATAAAATCTAGTTATTATGTGAAACTAAAATGAATTGTTAGTATTTAGGAGTGTTATAAGTATTTAGGAAAATTAGAGCCTAGTTTTCTTTCCCTACCATATAACTAAATCTATAAATTACATTTTATCTCAATTATTTTTAATAAATGTTGATGTATTGTAAATTAAATAGTCATTACAGCATAATTTTTCTTATAATAATCTAATAATTGAATTTTTTTTATGTATTGGTTTGGTTATAATATTTCGTGTGATTTTTTTCTTTTATTTTTCAGTATCCTACTTTCGATAGCTTATTATATTGTATTATTTATTTTCTTTGAAAAGGAAAATTAGCAATTTCTTGTGATTTTTCTATTAATTTCGGAAAACTAACTGTACATTATTTATATTTTTCCTACTATATGGGCTTCATTATTTGTCGCAGAAAACTTCTTTCACTTTTGGGTATTTATTTATTTCACCAGAGCAAGTAAATTCAGCTGCTCGATTTATTCAACTTTTAATTCATTCAAATTAAAAATCAGTTGAATGTTTTTTTTTTTTTCATTGCAATTTTATAAGTTCTGACAATCACTGAACACTGAAATATATAAGTACCCGCGATTTAATAGCTTGTCTTCTAGTCTTTTTATTCAAACTTCGCAAATTTTCTCAAATTTTTTAAAAATTTAAATTTTATCGCTTGCATTATTTTAAATAAATATAAAACTGAACTTTAAGAAACGTAAAAGAAACTAGATTGATGTCATTTCATTCTTTTGTTGCGAAAGCAATTTTATAACAACTTGTTCTTAAATTGTTCCGTGGAGATGAAGTTGTTATGAAGATTGTTCTGCTTTTTTATTTTGTAGTTTTGAACTTACTGTCAGAATCAGACTGGAGGCATCACGCTTGAAGAGACTCTTAAATGCCTTAAAAAAGATGCCCCAAGAAATGAATTATTTTAGATTTCATGAAAAAGTTGGGGATATTTCCATATTGTGATGTATTATATAATCTATCACGCAAGCTGCAGTCACCAAGGTGCTAAATTGATTTTAAACTTGCAAGTTTTTTTGGAAAAAAAATATGTAGGTATTTGCCCGGGGGTGGCTACGAGTTATACCTTTTGAGTTGTCCACTTTCTGTGATGTTTTTTTTTTTAGTTTCTCGCGGTCTGCTGAACTTTTAGGAAAAAAATACAAAATAATATGTTGATGTTTGCCAAGGGTTCTCTTCAAATGTGCAAGTTACTCTTTTCAAATAGGTTTCTGGCTGTGATATTTTTTTCTGTTTGCCCGAAACTTATGAAAACTTGGTGATTTTTTGAATCTGAAATTGATATGGAAATCTGTTTTTATTAATCAGTGAATTAATTTACAAAAATTATTAGAAATTTTACAAACTAATTATCTTATGTTATGTTTTTAAAAACTTTTAATTGATGCAGTAAAGGTCCCAATCTGGAAAACAGAATTTTTTGTAAGAAAATTATCAATGGTAACAAAAAGTCAAACATAAAAAAATAATCTTAAGATTATGCATAAATCCTACCGCATTAAAACTATTTTTGTTTTAACTGATGATTTAAAACAAAATTTGATGATTTAAATCAATGATTTCTTTTAAATCCAGATTTAAATAACTTAATAGAGATGTGAAAATCATGATTATTCTGAAGAATAACTCTTTTGTAGGAAGGTGAGGTATTAGTGCAAGATGATAAGAAGTGGGACAGTGTTTGGAACACAGATGAAATTCGAAAAAATAGTGCTAACTGGACTCTTGCTGGAGATGTTGGGGTAAATCTTTGTGTAGTTATATACATATATTATTATAATATAATTGTAATATTATTTATGTATGATATTATTATAATATTATATTATAATATATTTGTAATTATCTTGAATGTTTTTTTTCTTTTCTATGATAAATTACGTTATGTTTTCTTTATTGCCAAAGATATATAAATTTTTTCTAATTGATTTATCATCAGTAATTTTTGTCTTGTTTTGTTACTAGTGCAAAGTACAGTTTGCTATGATGGAAAGTCCCCTATCCACTGTAGCTTAATTCTTATACATATTTTTCATGCATAATATATGCTTGTATACATAATCTATGCATGTGTAAACATAATCCTTATGCATAAGATTTTGTAGCATATCGCAAACATAAAAGAAAAGAAAGCATATTTGTCAATTTTTTATTTTGGAAACAGAAAGAAATATTTGCTTCTTAAAAAGTGTCTAAAAAATAGATGTTTCCAAAAATAGATGTTCAAATAAAAAACTTGGATATGGCACTTATAATAATTTCCAATTAAAAATGATTAAATCTAGAATTGAAATGAATGAAACTCCTTTTAAAGGAAGAGTTCTTTTACAGGTATCATTATTTTATTATTTGTTTGGAAATATTTATTACATTTAATGGATATAATAAAAAGAACATTAAAAAAACATTCAGTTTGCAAATTTTAAGCAAATAATAAATTATTTATGGTGGTTAGAATCCTCAATGTCTTAGCAAAGATATCCAATCAGCAAATATATCCTAATCAGCTAGTATCCTGAATTGCTAGGGAGAAAGTGAGAGAGAATATGAGATATTTTATATTTTGTTAGGAATTTTCATTGTTTTAAAATTTCAAAAAATTACCTTTTTTTAAAGTGTGATTTTTTTTTTTTTTATATAAATAATTAAGTTGAAATATTCTGCTTAGAAACATTTGTAAATTTACAAGAAAAGTAAGATATTATGAAACATTGTTTATTTAGTTATTTAAAATATTACAAAATAAATAAATGTAAGATTATAATTTTTTGTTTGGTAGCCTGTTTTTCAGTAGAATATTATGATACATTTATATTCCATTTTCAATTAATTTAAATCAAGCATTTTTATATTTTATGTATCACTGCAGTTTGTATTATTATAAAACAATTTTTAATGTAGTAATATTGTTTGAAAAATATTATGATTTACCTATTGTATTTCAGTTAGTTATAATTGCATTAATAAAATTAAGTGCGGTTAGAAAAATAAAACATTTTAAATGTGGTTAAAAAAAAAATTATTTAAAGGAAAATTTAATTTAAAAAAATAATAATCTGAATTACATAAAATAAATCAGATTATTACTATTTTTTTAAAAGAAGAAAAAATAACAAACCCTGGTTACAATTGTTAGATGTTTGCTTGTATGTTTTGATTATCTTATTTTCTTATAAATTATTAGAATAAACCCAATAGACAGTAGTTCTATGAATAATTAGCATAAAACTGGACTCTAGCACTTTTTTTTATTGTTATGCCCATCACTGTATAGTTTATTTGCGTTTTTAACTTTTGACATTTATTTTACTCCAGTTATAAAACTTGCTGAATGAAATCTCCCAAAACATTATATCTAGAACACATGAGGTACAAAATGTTGTGGACTCCTTAATTCACAACACAAAGGTATTATACTAAGTTTTATTGTGAAATTATTGTAAATTTTCTTTGTAATCACTGTTGTATATGATAATATATTACTGTAATAATTGTATATTGCTGTGTAAATTGTTTACTTAGTCTAATTTTAGCATGACATAACTGCTTATATAATCTGACATAATAACTTACAGATTTAGATAGAATGAAAAACTTTCTATGAACACAATCAAAATACTTTTTGCATGCAATTTATTTACTCTTGTAATTAGTTTCAAATCTTTCTATTACCACCTAACTTGGACGAAATTCATCTTTAAACCACTGATTTTTTTTAAGTGTTATATTTTTTATAAAAATATATTCATTATTATATACATACCAGCATTATATTTCTTTAAATGTTGCAGTCTTTTGACGACATTATACCAGCTGCTGTTGTAACCTAGTTTAATGTCTTAAAAAAACTGCAACATTGAAAGAAATATATGCTGGTATCTGTAGAATAATCAATATAATTTTATAAAAATTATAGCACTTTAAAAAAATCAGCGTATATTTCTTTAAATCTTGTAGTTTTTTGAAGACATTAAATTAGTTGTTGTATCCTAGTCCCACAGTGGACTGATCCTGAAGACTTGGTTCTCAGTAGAACTCCGAATTCAAGCGTCAGTGGTGGCAGTCAGTACTGCATTCAGTAAGTTTTTATATATCAGAGCTGCGAACTCTAAAGTTCTAGGTTTTCATGATACTTAACAGGTCTCAGGATCCCTCACAGATGCCTTGACGTGAGTGTCACGTTCAGACTTTGCCAATGTGCTTCAACACGTCTATTTCATGCATCAGATTTGAGTTTCTCTCCTCAAAAAAATTTATATAGACCGGATGGTAGCATTTTTTGACTTTAAACCATTAAACCTTTGCTCAATTTCTTAGCCCTGTAAGTTTTAATATGGTCAGGATTAAAAGCACTTCTGGATTTAAGAATACCAAAAACAATATGGATCAACTTACGCATTGCAGCACCAACGATAGCCATATTATGTTTACCCTTTTCCTTTAATCTCTGGCAGAAACTAATAATGATAGGTTTGTGATTCTTAGCTACTATAGCAGGAAAGAAAAGTGCCTTATGTAATGTTTGTGAACCGGATTTACTTAATCTGGGTTCGGCATATACAGAGGAACCTGGCGTCTTATTTCATGGTATATCTCCTGCATATGCTGCCAATTGCCTGGCATCTCTAAAATCCTTTATGTAAAGAAGTTCAGCTAAAATAGCTATTGCTGATTCCTCTCCTATTCCTGGAATAGTTAATAAAAGTTGAAAATTTTTTAACAACTCTTTGTGTTGCTTTAATAGTTCACGTATGGAGCTTTTTATTGTTTCTATTTTTTGTGTTATGTTTATTGCAAGGTCTTCCCAAGCAGTTGCGACTTCTTTGGGCAGTCTCTCTTTTTTTTCTAAGTGGTTATTTACTGATGTCAATTCACCTTTTTTAACGCAGCCGAACAACGATAAAGATGTTTCAATTTTTTCTTTTCAGGAGAAGGTGGTGCCCAGCGAGTTGGTTCCTGCCTTTGGCAATAATCAGCAATAATTTCTGCATCAGTCTGATCATTCTTTTGTCGTACAAGTTTACTCCTTGCATAAGATTTTATGCAATGAGGATTTACTACACTAACAAAATGTCCAGCATTGCGTATAAATTCAGCTAAAGCTTCACTGTAGCAACCAGTGGATTCCATACATGCCTTTACTTCTTCTATGTTATGCTTTTGTAGAAAACTCAGCAGACCTTGAAATCCATGATCATCATTTTTAAGACTCCTTTTTCTAGTTTCATGTTCCCTTTTTTACTTATAATTGTGAGAAAGGCATCAAAGCGATCTTTCGATACGTCTATGCCTAAAAAGTTGTTGATCATATATAACTCCATACATTACCATTTAAAGTGAAAAGTAAGGCTAGTCTTGTGAATACAGAATTAGAACCATTTAGGTCTTTCTACGATACCGTTCAGCCTATACTTTTGAGAAGGGAGCTCTTATCTTTTTTACAGATTTTATATCTAAGTACGCACTCAGAGTTCCTCCCTTCTCCATCTAACGCTTAAGCTTAAAACATTAGATGCTTTCTTCGAGATACAAATACCTATATTTGAGAGAACAATTTAAATAAAAGTGGCATTTTAAATATAAAAAAGCAAAATTGTTGCAACGAAGCTAAGCAAATTAGTTTATATCTAAATGTGGCAAAAATAGGCTAATATAACTGACTTTGCTGTATAGTAGAATTATTATAAAGAAAAGTTCGAACGTATTATTTGGTAGACCAACACGTTCCAAAAAAAACTTGTTCTCACGGTTATTATTTTCAATTAAACAAAAGTGACCATATTATTAATTTAATGATAGAAAGTATTGAAATATATACCTATTGAAATAATGTTATTAGTCATAAAAAAAAACAACTTTACTTTGCTGATTTTTATGGCTACCATATGAATAGTTTAATATAGTGAGTCGATATGTTAGCAGGGAGTAAAAAGTCCGGTAAATCACCTAATGAAATCTTGAATCGAGATAGTGAGAGCACTCTAAAAAAGTCAGATTTTGTTGCTAGAAACCCTATTTCCATTTTTAGTCTGATAAAAAATGCAAAGGATGAAGAGGGGAAAAAGAAGCTTAATCAACTTTTGCAGACACTAAGGAAGAAATTGCCTGAGGGCTTTAAGATAGGAGCTGCTGTAGGCGAAGGGGATTGTTTCTTTGATTCCGTAGCTCAAGGATTGAACGAGCTAAAAGATAAAGGTCTGATTGCAGATAGTAAAAGATTTAGTGTAAAGTCTTTGCGGGAAAATTGTAAGCAATATGCACTACAAGCTAATCAATCAAGAAAAGATTCATGGTTGGGTAATGCTCTAGAAGGAGAAGGTGGAAAGTTTTGTGAATATATTCCGCTTATTGAATTTACTGCAGAAGACATTGAAAATGCAAGTTCTGGTTCGGAAATAAAAATTCTAAAGTTGGAAAATGCTATATGGGGTAGACCTAAAGTTGAAGGAAAAATGATATGCGAAAAGCATAGCGTAAAAATTAGGATTATAAAATTGAGAGATGAAGAGATAGATAGATTACATGTTACTAAAGGTAAGGTAGGTACAGGTAATAATATTATTTATATACTGAATTACAGGAACCATTTTGTACCACTTCTTAGTAGTATTGAAAAAGATATAAAGAGAACCATAAAAGTTTCTAGAGAGGAAGCTTACGGTAATGTGGTAGGTTCAAATTCAAACAATATTTCTCAATCTTGCATTTATACACCATTACAAGATATTGAAAATTCCTCTCACGGGCAAAGCGATCATTCAAGGAGTATGGGTAGAAAACGTGGGCGTTCTGTTACAGACAAAGATGGTACAGTATCGAAGAGGCTGCGCATGGATGTAAATGTTACTAGTAATGAAGATTCAGAGTTTCCTAGTGCTTTACAATATGAATCTGGATATGATGATCATGCTTATCAAGCTAGTCGATGCATTCCTCATCATTTGATTGAACTTATGTATCAATTAAACTTGTTGGTGCTTTGCTCACTTAGAAAGTCTATGTATGAACATAAGTACCCTTCATTGTCATTAGCGTTTGGAGATTCTGAGATTGATAAATTTAGTAATATTGTTCTCCGTTATGAGGGGAAGTCTACTCATATACAAGTTAAAAATGTGGATAATTATATAGATAGTAATATCAGCTATGCTAGGTTATTTAATAAAGAAAGACGAAGCTCTTCTATTAATAGTTACTTTGATAGTTTTGTTAAACATCTAATCTCTAAGTCAGATAGTTTATGTAATGTGGAATATCTTACTGTCTATACCAATTCAGGCTTGGATCTTACAGAAGAAAAGGAATTAAAACAAGGACGATCCAAAAACTTTTATCCTTTTAAATTTTATAGCATAAATATAGAGGAATATGGCATTCTAAAAAACTTTTTATTTACAAGTAATAACATACAAGGGCATGGGTTTTATCAGTTTTCACAAGATAAAACAACAAGAGAAGAACTCTTAAAGCAATTAAAATTCTCTCCTGCCGTGCAGAAAGTAATAAAAAAAAGAGAGCTTTCTCTTGGATTTGAAAAAGAAATAAAAGAAGCGTTTTTAGATAAATTAGTATTTGCAGTTAATCAGCCTAATAGAGAAGAGCTGAACAGCATTATTAAAAGTGAAATGAAAAAAAATAGTGAAGTTCGAGACAATTATATAACATTACAAGAAAGAATATTAAGTAATTTAGAAGAGCATAAAAAACTTGGAAACTATATATCTGGAATTATATATGAATTCAATTTATTAATGCTTTTTTTGCACGACATGTTCTTGCATAAAAATATGTTTTCCATAAATTTTGAAGGAAAAAGCCGTGATATATCTAATTATATTACTATCAATTATAAAGGTAGAACTACTTACTTAAAGGCTCATTACGCAGATAGTAATATTGATTATAATCAGTTATTTCCCTCCAGACAACAGAATAATACATTTTCTATTAATAAGCTTTTTACTCTTTTTGTTGAAAAATTAGGAAAAGCTATAAAATTTTTTATTATCTATACTAATAGAGGTTTAGATCTTACAGAAGAAAGGGAATTAAAACAAGGACAATCTAAAGGCTTTCATCCTTTGAAATTTGATATTATGGATATTCGAAAGAGGAAGTATAAAATTTTAAGAGATTGTTCATGTATAGATGGGAATGGTCTTTATCAATTTGCACAAGAAGAAACAACAAGACAAAAGCTTTTAAGTCTATTAAAGCTTCCACCTTCTTTACAGAAAGAAAAAGGAGGAGTTTCTGATGAGAATGAAAAAGAAATAAAAGAGAAATTTTTAGATAAATTAGTATTCGTGGTCCACCAGCCTAATAGGGAAAAGTTGAATAGTGTTATTAGAGGTAAGATAGATAATCAGTCTAATAATACATATAATTGCGAAGAGTTACATGAAATAGCATTACGTTGGTTAGAGTCTCATGAACTTGGTCCTGTCAGAAAGGGAATAATGGAAAAGCTTTTGGAAGATATCAAAAATAATAGATCTAGTTATCAGGAGATTCAAAATAAAGATATTAATGAGGAATTTAAATTTGCTAAAAGTGTGGTTGGCAGAGAAGGAACGTCTATGTTTTATCAGTTCTTGGGTTTTTTAGTGAAAGGAGAAGGAAGGAAGTGTCTGGAAGTTCTGAAAAGAAAAGGAATAAACCTATCTACTGTGTCCAGTATTTTGCATGGAGCAGGGGATAGTGCTGTAAAAGCTTTTAAAGACTTATATGACTTTTTGTTTGATGAAGTAGGAAATAAAATGCAATACTTGAAAACTCTTGAAGAAGAAGGAATAAATCTAGCTAATATATCAAGCATTTTGCATGGAGCAAGAGCTAATGCTGCAAAAGCGTTTAAGGACTTATATGATCTTTGGTTTGATCAGAACGGAAAAAAAACAAAATGTTTAATAAAACTAGAAGAAAATGGAGTAGGTCTAGTTCGTGTGTCCAGTATTTTAAGTGGAGCAGGGACTAGTGCTGCAAAAGCTTTTAAAGATTTATATCACCTTTGGTTTGATAAAAAAGGAAATAGAACACAATATTTAAAAACTCTTGGAAAAGAAGGAATAAATCTATCTAATATGTCCAGTGTTCTAGGTGGAGCAGGAACTAATGCTCCTAAAGCTTTTAAAGATTTATATGATCTTTGGTTTGATGAGCAAGGAAATAAAAAACAATATTTAAAAACTCTAGAAGAAAAAGGAATAAATCTATCTAATATGTCCAGTATCTTGCACCGCGCAGGAGCTAATGCTGCAGAAGCCTTTAAAGACTTATATGCTCTTTGGTTTGATGAGCAAGGAAATAAAAAACAATATTTAAAAACTCTAGAGAAAGAAGGAATAAATCTATCTAATGTGTCCAGCATTCTAGGTGGAGCAGGAGCTAATGCTGCAAAAGCTTTTAAAGACTTATATGATCTTTGGTTTGATCAGAACGGAAAAAAAGCAAAATATTTAATAAAACTAGAAGAAAATGGAGTAGGTCTAGTTCGTGTGTCCAGTATTTTAAGTGGAGCAGGAATTAGTGCTTCTAAAGCTTTTAAAGATTTATATAATCTTTGGTTTAATAAGAAAGGAAATAGAACACAATATTTAAAAACTCTGGAGAAGGAAAGAATAAATCTATTAACTGTATCCAGTATCTTAAGTGGAGCAGGAACTAGTGCTTCTAAAGCTTTTAAAGACTTACATGACTTTTGGTTCGATAAGCAAGGAAATAAAACTCAATATTTAAAAACTCTAGAAGAAAAAGGTACAAATTTATCTACTGTATCTAGTATTTTACATGGAGCAGGAACTAGTGCTTCTAAGGCTTTTAAAGATTTATATAACCTTTGGTTTGATGAAAAAGGAAATAGAACACAATATTTAAAAACTCTAGAGAAAGAAGGAATAAATCTAGCTAATATGTCCACTATTCTAGGTGGAGCAGGAGCTAATGCTGCAAAAGCTTTTAAAGATTTATATGATCTTTGGTTTGATGAGCAAGGAAATAAAAAGCAGTATTTAAAACATTTTACTGAGAAAAAAGATAGGGAAAAAACTTTTACGATGTATAACTTATCCAGCATTTTAGGTGGAGTAGGAGCTAGTGCTAAAGATGCTTTTGAAAAATTGCATAATGTTTGTTTTAATGACGAAGGAAAAAGAACAGAACTTTTAGATGATTTCTATGAGGCAGGTTTTGAACCAAGTAACTTATCCTGTATGTTATGTAAAGCAGGAGTTCATACTTCTTCCATCTTAAAAAGATTGCATAGCGTTTGTTTTAATGACGAAGGAAAAAGAGCAAAACTTTTAGATGACTTCTATACTGTAGGTTTTAGGCCATGTGATTTGTGCAGTATAATAAGTGGAGCAGCGGATAGTTTAGAAAATTTTCATGATTTTTGTTTTATAGGGGAAACAAAAAAGTATTTAAACCATTTTTTAAATGAGGAACAAGGTTTTACTCTGAGCAATTTATGTAATATATTGCATGGAGTAAGAGCTAATATTTGTTCTGCTTTAAAAGATTTTCATGATGTTTGTTTTGATGGGGCAGGAAGCAAAACGCAACTTTTAGCTGATTTCCGTAAGGTGGGTTTTAAGCCGAGTGATTTATCCAATATATTGTCCATGGCTGGAAGTAATGCCGCTTCTATTTTAAGAAATTTTCATGAAGTTTATTTTAATCAAGAAAATTATTTAAATCACTTCTTAGCCAAGAAGGAACTTTTTACGCCAAAGGGTTTATCCAAGATATTACATGGAGTAGGAATTAATATTTGCCCTATTTTTGAAAAATTGCATGACCTTTGTTTTGACAAGGCAGGCAACAAAACGAAATATTTAAACAATCTTATCAAAAATAATCGGCATGAGATGTTTAATATATTATATAAAAAAATCAGGAAAGGTCCTTGTACTACTTTCTTCGATGATATAGCACTTCAACAACAGGATATTGGTAGGATAGAGGAAGACGAAAGAGATGTAGATGATTCTCCTATTCCTTTGAGTAATGAAGAAGAGCATATGGGTTCAGGTAGTCAGGATAAAAGTAGCAAAAAGCAAAAAGGTAGTCCACAATGAAGTAATTCTAGTTCCCATAAGAGAAAAGTCGAAGAAATAGATAGTTCACAAAAGAGATGTAACTTCAGGAAAAGGCCAAAGGCAAACACACTCAGTATATTCTGACGAAAAGCGAGAAGAAGTGTCTTCACGGTTATCAGAATTTATGTCTAATAACTTTCCCAACGCTTCTATTTAATCGGTAAGACAAGGTCTACATTTACCTTCCTTTGAAAAACGTGGGGTTGAGATTGATGGTAAATGTGTAGCAATTACTCGTAGCTTTTCTCAAGCTTTATTTTTGAATGGTGAAAAAGCATTTTTGAGTAATTTAGAAGTTTCAGCTAAAATTTATGAATACATAGAGCAGCATAAGCAAATATCTGCGAGTGAGAAAAGAAAAGTTCATGATTTAGAAAATTTAATTTATAGTTTTGAAGAGCAGCTAAACTCTTATGAGAATAGTAGTCTACCTTTAAGATTGATTCACAACACCAAAGAAGACCGTAAAACGTTTAGTAATTTATCAAGTTTTATAGCTGGAATTAAGAGTGATTTTGCTATTCACTTAGTGACAAAAGGTCATGTTGTTGCAATATATAGGGTTGGTGATAGCTATGCTTATTTTGATAGCAATGCAGCGTTTATTTCCGGGTTAAGAAGTGTTGATCAGCTCACGCAAGTTATGGAAAGAGAGGTAAAGTTTGCTGGCTATGTACTAGTGGAAAACTTTTTTTGTTGAACACTTTGATGTCGATAAAGCTAATAACTTACTATCTGATGAAGATAAACAAACTCTAACAAGAGAAATCAAAACTGAGTGTCAACTTCTAGCAGAGCAAAATAAGGAGTTTGGTCTTACTAAGATCAATGGTCGAGAAGTATCCAGAGTACAGCTATATGACTTTGGAACTAAAATTAATGTGGAAAGTAGTGTACCATTTGTAAGAGTTTAATTAAAATATTATTTGGTGCGTATTAAATAACATTATTTATGTATTATTAAAATGGATAGGTTGGAATCTTTGGTAAAGTACTTGTGTTTGGATATAGTCATGTTATGTTAAACAAATAACGGCCGAAATATATAAAAGGGAAATTAGATTAAGGGGGATGTGATCGTTAAGGAAAGTGGTAGTACAATGCTAATGTGGGATAACAATAACCCAATAGGTTCAAAGGGTCACAAACAGGGCCGTAACTACGCCGGGGCAGTCGGGGCACTGCCCCGACGGTCAAGGGGGCCCCATATGAAGGGACCATGCGACATTTTCTCAAAAGAGTTTATATATATATATATGAAAGAGATTGTGTGAAGATTTGCTAAAATCTTCTTTTTCGTAGTTACAATCGACTTTAACATAGGGTGAAAGACTCTTACCGAGAATTATTTCCCTTCCTCAAAAGAGCAAAAACGCTTCACAGAAAAGAGGAACNATTTTGTACTAATTACAAATATTAATTTTATGACTTTTTTTTAATTTTTACATTATTTTTTTTTTCTTTTCACCTTTCTTAAAAAATTTTATTACTATGAAATCTGTTTTGCAATTTGCTTTAAATATTTTTCAAGAACTGAAACTAATCTAAATTTTTTAAAAGGAAATCTTTATTCCAGATATTTATTTTAATGCAAACTGATGTATAATCTTTGTCACTAACTTAAGTGTATAAATGTATCTACCAAACTAGAATCATTAAATACATTTAAAATCTGTATTTAGTATGTGTTTTGTAATTATTTTTAGATGTCTTGAAGTCTTAAATACTTATTTGTGCTGTGTAACCAAAAATGAGTTTTTTTTTAAATATAACATTTTACATTCTAGTGTTAAATTTACAACTTACAATATTTTGGAATTCCATTTATATGTGAACAAGTAACATATTTTCATAAATATATTAGACAACATGAAATAGCTAAAATCACGATTAGAGATGGAGTACACAAAGTTTTAGAAAGGGCCCCGGCAAACATTTTAGCCCCAGGGCCTCGAAGGGAGAAGTTACGGCACTGGTCACAAAGTGTGAGGTTTGCATAATTTGGTATCACCAAATTTGGGAAAAGGGCGAAACTAAAATAAGTTTTAGATTAAAGATAAGAACGATAAATAACATGCTATATCCAGATACAGACTTAACATTTAATACAGTAAGATGATGTTTCCAATGAGAAAATTACAAATTCCCTTATCAATGAAAAAGGTACTCACCACATACAGGAGGAAAAAGGGGTAACAACAATGAGAATATATAGACTAAAGAAAATCACACCAATTTTTCCATTCAGCTGAATATTTATTTTCGTAAAACATTATTTTTGTAAAACTACTTATTTTGTTATTTAGTAAAAAAACAATATATTTCTACACATTTTCGTGACACAGGAGATATCTTTTAAAAAAGAAATGGGTGACAATGAAGGCGTCATGCATAAAGGTAAAATATAAAAGAACGAGTAATTTAACCGTTAGAATAAATTTGAGAGGGCTTTTAATGTTAAAAAAAATTAAAGGTATTAAATGTTGATTTAAATTTTACAGAAATTGATTACAGCTATGGATTTAATTTAAGATAAAGGTGTGGAAAAAAATGTAAAAAAAATCCCTCGATACGGACCGAAGTCCGCATCTCGAGAAAAAAAAAAAAAAGAACCAGCAAGAAGGAAGCACAAAAAAGTATGTCTTCAAAGTGACTTAAGAAATCCTTAACTGGTATAGGACCAAAAAAATTACGGCCAATTAAATTTAAAGATGCGGAGATTGGTTAGTTAGCCCCCCTAAAATTAAAAGAAAGGCGTGAATAGAGGGGTTGGTTAACTTTCCCCACAGGAAGTGCAATGACCATGAGAAAGGTCAACAAGTAAGTTAAAGATAAAATTGCTAAATTGAAAAAAAAGGAATAACGTTTAAAGAAAAATTAAAGGCTTAGGTAAAATAAGAAAATAATTTGTCACTTTACATTAAGTGTAAATGTGACAATACCCGGACAGACTGGAAATTTCTTTATAAAATTTTCGAAATCGTAAGAAAATTTTAATTTCAAATAAATATTAAGTAAAAATCAAAATATAAGGATTTTCCTCAATACTAAAAAATCCGAAAAGTTTGAAAACAAAAACTGCTTGAAATACAAGTAACCAAAAAAACAATTAAAATAATCTTGTTTAAAAAAATAATATAAAATAAAATTCAAAACTTAGCATTAAATGGTTAAAGTAGAAAAAGATATAAAATTGGAAAGAAAAAAACACAGAAACAGCAATTACAGTTCTAAGAAACAAAAAAAAATAAAACAATTTAAATCAATACTAATAACAAGTGATTATATGGTGAGGGCAACAAATTGGAAACATCAGTAAAAGCTTAAAAAAATTTTTAAATACATGGATCTCAAACATATTGTGACGCAACTAAAGAGAGGAAAAAAACGAAAAAGGCCAAATAAAACAGAAATATGTAAATACAATTACTAATAATTGTCGATTAAAATGACATAAAAGAAGAAATTATAACATTAAATTAGAATCAAAAGTAAAATTCGATTGCATTTTGCAATAAATAAACAATTTTTCAATTAGTAATATCAACATAATTATGAAATTTTGATTGGAAATGTCGCAAAGAACGCACCATGTTTGAGATGATCGTACATTAAATTCATTGATCATAAAATATGTGAACTAAAAAATACGCTAAACAGAATTATGTTATCCTTACACTCGAATAAAAAATTAATTAGACAATGTGATAAAAGGATTGGAGAAAAAATTGTTCGTTAATTAGCAATATAATTTTCTAAGTGCTGACACAAAACTGAGTGTTTAAAATGAGAAAAATAATTTAAAAATTATTCTGATATTCATTAATATAAGGTTTTACAAATGATGTATAAAACCCATTAAACATAATACTTACACTTGTAAGAGACATCTATTGTAGATTATTGTATTAGACAAGTATTGTAGATTAAAAACTCAAATTAGTATTTAAGCAAACATTGTATTTTATTAGTATTTAAACAAACTTGGCAAAAGCAATTAAAATAATTATGAAATGTTCCTTCAAATCAATTAAGTGATAAGGGTTTAATGTGTGATAAGTCTATTTTTCTAAAGCTAAAGTGCCAGCATGAAAAAAGGAACTACTAAACTCAGCGGCGCGACAGCCCATAGAGGGCCAAGGCCTACTGTGCCCATCTCAGTTTTCTTGACTTTGGGCTCTGGGGTGCAGGAGCAGATGTTCCGATCAGGTGGTCAGCCAAACGCGGAACCCCCAGTGTTTAGTTCCCAAGCATGCTTGGTACTCATTTATCGACCCGCTGAAGGGATGAAAGGCTGAGTCAACCTTGCCCGGCCCAAGGATCGAACCAGGGACCTGTGGCACAACAGCGGGAAGCGTTACCGCTCAGCCACCGGGCGTCATGAAAAAAGGAAGATAAGAAAAATATCTTTCCCTTTTTGAGGAAGTGGGGGTGAAAAGTTTCTTGACACTGTTTTTTTATTGAAGGCAACAAACAGGGTTCTGATGGTCACTCCTTGAGGTTGCAGGTGGCCCCACAGAAGCACAATATTATCTTGTCATTCCATCCTTTCCTCCACAGGACTCACTTTCAACTGTGGACATTGTGGGAATGGGTATCTTTCTGCACCTGTTTTTCCCAATTAAAAGAATTGATGAAACAGGAATCGACCAGGGGTTTTGTAACATCCTGTCGTGGAAGAGGCCATCATTTTTTAGGGTCTTGTTTATTTTTGACAAGTAAAAGGGGGCATGCCCAAGAGCTAACTGCGCGTTCAATAATACCTGCCTCAATCATGTCATCAAGTTCTTTTTTTGTAGATTCATGTAAAGCTTGAGGAATGGGGAACGGTTGAGTCTTAATGGGGGTGATAGATTAAAATTTTAAATCAGGAATAATTTTATCCGTGCATTTTAGAGTTTTAAGAGATTTTGAAAAGGCTGAATATTTTTCCATTAATAAAGAAAGAATTGTGGACTGCTCTTGTTCATTTAAATTTCTAAGATTAAAATCATCTGTAGATAATTGTTCTTTCCTCAATTTTAAAATTTCATCAGATGCTTGAATTAAATTACACGTTTGATTATCATTAACAACTTGCTACCAAGCACGATTGCTATACGCCCATCTTTTCCGTCTTAAAATAGTGGATAATCCTGCCTGCCCCCTCTGCCGCAGTGGTGCGACGATGAATGCTGAACATCTTCTCAACTGTTCAGCTCTCACAAAGTACTGCATCTACTCCCGATACTGGGAGGCCAGAGAACTTTTGTTCAATTTAAATTCTTGATTTAATTTTTGTGTTTGATGTTTTGTATATTTCATATCTTTCTGTATTTGTATTTTTCTTTTCTTTTGATCTCTGTACGGCGTTAGGATAATGTCTATATCGCCTGCTGCATTGGAAATAAAAAAATTATTATTAACAGGCGAATCATTAGTGATGAAGATTATATTCAGGAAAGGTGTTAATTATGTCCTCAACTGGAACAGAATTAAAATCTGGGGCAATATCAAAATGAGAAGAGGCTTCTCCAATATTTGATGATGTATTTTTAATTACAGTAGTGAACGTATCATTTACAGCTGTATGTACAGCAAAATGAAGCTCAATGTTTCAAATGTCATTTGGTTTAAAAAGAATATCATAAATTTTCATATTTTGGGGGTTAACAATTTTTAGTTTAACAATTTGAGATTCTTGGGGTTCTAATTTTATCTTTCGGCTAAGAATTATATTAAATATATTCTTATTATTGATACCGGATGTATTACATTCTTTATCAAAGTTTGACGAATCATTATTGGGTTTCGTCTCTGTTTTTTCAGTAGTGGGACTGATAAGAACAGATATTTTCTGTTCAGACTTTAACTGCTCATCACACTGTTTATCAGATAAAGGAAGTACAGTTTCAGAATTATTACAATTAACGTTATTATGATCAAGTGACTCATCGAGGTG